TTTAAAAGAAAAAAATGGCCAAAATATATAAGGCAATAGGTTTCAGACACTGAAGGAAAGTGACCCCCAAGGATAAGAAACAAGGGTGGTGAGCCTGAGGGGTGCCCCAGGGCACAGCCTGGAGGCTTTCCAAGGACTTTCCAAGGCATTCATGAGAAGTAAAAACCACCTGACAGGACTAGCAGGCAAGAGCTCACAAAAGCTGCAGAACAGTGCCGGCTCCCATCACCAGACTAGAGAATCTCCTCACTTCTGAGGCACCACATGGAGCACTCAGGAGGGTCTTGCCTTGGTAGCAGAGAAAAAACAGGCCTAGACTACACAGTATTTGTCTTGCCTAACAAATTTAAAAAGCAAAACCTGAAAGGATCGTCAATCTGTTTCCAGGTAAGGTAACTGCGGCCCAGAATAAAGATCAAGAATATTTACAGGAATACAAAAATATTTGGTACCCATTCCCAGTATCTGGCATCCAATTAAAAAAAAATCACCAGGCATACAAAGCAGCAGGAAAATATAACCCCATAATAAGGAATAAACATACTGAGAAACTGAGTCTACAATTTATGCAGACAAAAGACCTAGCATATTCAAAGCAACCTTGAAAAAGAGTAAAGTTGAAGGATTTATACTAGCTGATTTCAAGACTTACTGTACAGCCACATGAACTAAGACCACTCTGTACTGGGATAAGGGGTTTATAAAAATTTTGTTCATCTTTTCAAAGAACCAACTTTTAGCTTTAAATTTCTCTATGGTCTGTTTTCTATTTTGTTGACTTTTGCTTTTATCTTTTCCTTCATTCCATCTTGGAATTACTTCACTCTTCCTTGGCTAACTTTTATTTTATTTTGAGACGGAGTTTCGCTCTTGTTACCCAGGCTGGAGTGCGATGGCGCGATCTCGGCTTACCGCAACCTCCGCCTCTCGGGTTCAGGCAATTCTCCTGATTCAGCCTCCTGAGTAGCTGGGATTATAGGCACATGCCACTATGCCCAGCTAATTTTTTGTATTTTTAGTAGAGACGGGGTTTCACCATGTTGACCAGGATGGTCTTGATCTCTTGACCTCGTGATCCACCCGTCTCGGCCTCCCAAAGTGCTGGGATTACAGGCTTGAGCCACCGCGCCTGGCCTTCTTGGCTAACTTTTTAAACTGTAACTTTAGATCACTGATTTGAGACGTCTCTTCTCTAACAGCATTTTAAAGCTACTGATCTTACAAGCCCCGTTTTTAGCTGTATCCCATATATTTTAGTATGCTATACTTTCAGTATCAGTGATTTGGAAATATTTTCTAATTTTCTTTGTGATTTCTTTTTTGAATCATAGGTTTAGAAATGTGTTGTCTGACTTCTAAATATTTGGGTTTAAATATACTGATTTTTAATTTAATTCACTAGCCAGAGAACACAGTTTACACATCACACCATCAATTCTTTTAAATTGGAGACACAGTACAGCCCAACATGCCTTATTTCTTAGTGAACATACTGTGTGTACCTGAAAAGACTGTGTATTATGCAGTTATTAGGTCTCATGTTCTCTAAGTCTCAATTAGATCAAGGTGGTTGATAGTGTTGCAGAGATCATGTTTGTTTACTTAATTTTTTCTCCATATATTTTTATCAACTGCAGAGAGGGAGTGTACAATTTTCTGAATAGAATTATGGAAAGTCTATTTCCACATTTTTGCTTCAGAGCTTTCAAAGTTGTTATTAGTGAATACATATTTATGACTGGTATGTCTTCCTGAACTGACCACTGTGTCATTATGAAATGACTGTCCTGAAATCTACTTTGCACATATTAATAAGGCACTGCAGCCTTCTTATGCTTATTGTTTGACTTGTGCATCTTTTTCCATTCATTTATTTTCAACCCATTGGTGAATTTTAATTGTACTTTGTGGACAGCATATAGTTAGGTCTTGATTTTTTTAAATCTGTTTTGAGAATTTTTGCCTTTTATGTATTTACTTATTTTTAGAGACAGGGTCTTGCTTTGTCACTCAGGCTGGAGTACAGAAATGTGATAAGAGCTCACTGGAGCACTGAACTCAAGATGGGCTCAAACTAGGCTCAACTGATTCTTCTGCCACTGCCTCCCAAGTAGCTGGGACTACAGGTGTGGATCACCACACCTGGCTAACTTAAAAATGTTTTTGTAGAGATGGGGTTTCACTATATTGCCCAGACTGGTCTCAAAACTCCTGGCCTCAAGCAATCTTCTTACCTCCTTGGCCTCCTGAGTCCCTGAGATTACAGGTGTGAACCACTATGCTTGGTCCAATTTTTGCTTTTTAATTGAAGTGCTAAGTCAATTTTATGTCATTACTGACAGAACTGGATTTAGAGCTATTCTCTTGTTATTTGGTTTGTTTTCTCTGCTTCTTTTTTGTTTATCCTCCTTTCCTGCCCTTCTTTTTTGAGTATATTTCAAAATTTCATTTTATTGATTGGCTTTTTAGCCATTGTATCTCATATACCATCTTTTAAAAAATTATTTTAGGGCTGGGAGCAATGGATCACGCCTGTAATCCCAGCATTTTGGGAGGCCAAGGCAGGCAGATCACCTAAGGTCAGGAGTTCAAGACCAGCCTGGCCAACATAGTAAAACCCTGTCTCTACTAAAAATACAAAAATTAGTTGGGTGTGGTGGCAGGTGCCTGTAATCCCAGCTACTTGGGAGACTGAGGGAGTAGAATCGCTTGAACCTTGGAGGCAGAGGCTGCAGTGAGCTGAGATCGCATCACTGCATTCCAGCTTGGATGACAGAGTGAGACTCAGACTTAAAAAAAAAAATTAATTTTTTGTAGAAAGAGTCTCATCAAGTTGCCCAGGCTGGTCTTGAACTCCTGACCTCAGGTGGTCTGCCTGCCTTGGCCTCCCAAAGTGGTGGGATTACATGCATGAGCCACTGTGCCTGGCCTACATTCCATCTTAATTAGATCCTGCTTTAGGTTCAAAATATCTATAACGGCAATGACTCCTGGAGACTAATAGGCAATAATAGATTCCCTATTCTACTACTCATAGGCTGCGTGATAGTGGGCAAGTTAAGTTACTTTACCTATTTGTGCCTTAATTGTTCCACACATAAAGTGAAGATATTAACCTGCAAGGGAATACATTTGTGATCGTGGTCCTCAGACATAACTCATTAGAGTCAGAATGTAAACTGAGGGAATGCATATGAGCTTCTCAGAAAGCAAAAGACATAGAGATACGTTTTTTGGAACATCTGGGCTCTATTTCTGCTTTTTCTCCCTGGGATAAAGATGTGGCCCTGTACATGTTGAGGCTGATCTAAGATCAGGAGAAACCAATACCAGTAAAAATTTCCTAAAGCACATGGACCTTAGTATAAATTCATTAAAAACAGTAATATAAAAGCAGAGTACAGAAAGCAGAGTGGCAGAGTCAAAAAAGAGCTTTTATTTTATTATTTTTTTTTTGTATTTTTAGTAGAGGCGGGGTTCCACCATGTTGGCCAAGATGGTCTTGATCCCCTGACCTTGTTATCCACCTGCCTCAGTCTCCCGAAGTGCTGGGATTAAAGGCGTAAGCCACCGCGCCCGGCCCAAAAAAAGCTTTCCCTATTGGGTGAGACCCTCCCTTTCTGTATAGGCTGTACTGTGAACAGCTACACAGCCACACAGGAATGCAGAATATTAAAAATGTGCATATGCTCCTGTCTGGAGGGGCTAGCTCAGGTCCAGTGAAGCTCTACTTTTAACTGATTAGAAACGTAATGCTCTCTGGTCTTTCCCCAACAATCCATAGTTCTCCTGTCAGGACCATGCTCTCCATCTCACAACTTGTTGGAAAGATTTAATGACATCACCCTAATCAAGAACTAAGAGCACACAGTGGCACATGGAAATGGCTCAATGCATACTGGCTGATATGCCACTGAGGACTAGCAAAGATAAAGCAGAGATCATGTGAAAACACAATTTAACATACTTGTCACCAATCCTGCATCTACCAAAATTATTACGAGCAATGAAAAAGTCAAAGGACAGGCGGCAATAAAGAGGAATAAAAAGAAGCCAGGAGAATAATTTACCAAGTAATTATGGTGTGAAATGAAGAGTTTTACAAGTACTCTATTCATTGCTATCACACGAATACAAAAATCTGAATATATGTGTGACTAAGGTCATCACAACTATACAGGATTTAAACCCCGCCTCTACTAAAAATACAAAAAAAAATAATAAAATAAAAGCTCTTTTTTGACTCTGCCACTCTGCTTTCTGTACTCTGCTTTTATATTACTGTTTTTAATGAATTTATACTAAGGTCCATGTGCTTTAGGAAATTTTTACTGGTATTGGTTTCTCCTGATCTTAGATCAGCCTCAACATGTACAGGGCCACATCTTTATCCCAGGGAGAAAAAGCAGAAATAAAGCCCAGATGTTCCAAAAAACGTATCTCTATGTCTTTTGCTTTCTGAGAAGCTCATATGCATTCCCTCGGTTTACATTCTGACTCTAATGAGTTATGTCTGAGGACCACGATCACAAATGTATTCCCTTGCAGGTTAATATCTTCACTTTATGTGTGGAACAATTAAGGCACAAATAGGTAAAGTAACTTAACTTGCCCACTATCACGCAGCCCATGAGAATGGGCAAAACGCAGGCCCATTCTTTAAAAGTCAGCAACGAGGTAACCTAACACAGTCCCATTAATAATTGCATTAATAATGAATAACACTAATGGAGTACTACCTACCTACTAGGTACTGTATTAAGTGCTTCATATGTGTCAACTGATTCCATTGACAAATAACATAACTGAGAAATAAGGTCCAAAATATGTAACTGACATAAACATGATAACGTCTCCAGAAATATTTTAAGTGAATTAAAGCAAGAAAAACATGTAATTTAGAAGTTGTAACTGAGCAAATGGTATTCATGACTTTTGTTTTCTCATCACAATGTAGTTAAAGATGAGTATGTTTTCAAAGTCAGAGGCGAGTGTGATACCTGTCTCTGCGGGTGGGATGTGGACAATGGTGCTGCTGTAACCACACTGGCTCATGCCCGACCCCAAGCTCAGCACTGTCGTGGACAGGATCTGTGGAGCTCCTCCTCCTGTGTCTGTGGACCGTCCATTTGCTGGCATTTCTGGCTTAGGTATGACTGGGATTTGCAAACCAGCTGGTGATGTAAGAGAAACTGACAGTGAAAAAAAAATTCCCAACAAGAAATTTACCTAAGACCCAGTTTACAGAAGTTTGTAACTGAGAAATTAAACCTTATTTGCCATAAAGCAGTCACATGAAATCAGAATTTTATGCTTACAACAAAATAAAGATTAGACATTAAAGAGAAATAGGAAGGATGTATTTACAGTTCTTTTAATTTAACTCTGAGGGGCATTCTTGTTACCCTGTAAGGCCTGGACATCGTCTGCCTTGTGGTTCTGTTTGTCTTCTTCTGAGGATGAAGAAGTTGTATTTGTACAGGAGATACACTTTCTTTTCAAAGCTGGAATGTTGTAGCTCTTCAGGTATCTGTAACAACATAATTAGGCCACATACTCTTACCTGTTCCCCAACTGCCATTTCCCATCTCTTCGCTTTCCTCATGCCAGTTCTGTTCAGGGTAGTTTGTACTTTCTTCTTGATAAAGTCTTCCCTGACCATCCCAGCCTCAATCACTGGACTGTAGTATTTCTTTTACTACAGTCTTGAATTAACCTTCATCTCTTACACCATGGGTGTCCAATCTTTTGGCTTCCCTGGGCCACACTGGAAGAATAGTTGTCTTGGGCCACACATAAAATATACTAATACTAATGATAGCTGATGGGCTAAAAAACCCAAAAAACAAAAAACAAATCTCATAATGTTTTAAGAAAGTTTATGAATTTGCGTTGGGCTGTATTCAAAGCCGTCCTGTGCCACATGTGGCCTATAGGCCGCAGGTTAGACAAGCTTGCCTTACACCATTTAATTCTGATAAAATTAGGTCTTGTCTTCTCAACTATAGCACAGTTCCTTCAAAGAAGGGATGCATCTTCTAGCTTTTTGTGCCTTCCGTAATGTTCAGTGTATTATGAACTATATGTGTTAGGCATTTCATAAATATCTATTGATTTATAGTGAAAACCCAAGTCAGAGCAGCTATTTAAAATTCTGTGAAGTGTCTGCAGTGACAGCATCTGCTTTTGGAGAAGACTAACATGGTCTCACACCTGATGACGCTGTCGATACAGTTAATCTGTTGATAGGATGGGCTGTGCTCGTCGTTCCTCAGATCCTCGTGAGGCTCAGCGTACATGCTATTATTTTTCAATATTTGGTGGAAGGAAGTACAGGCCTTATACTCACCTGAAACAGAATAAAGCGATGTGCAATTAAAAGTACTCAGCATGTAATTAAGAACATATACTTTCTTAGCAAAACGAAATCATGGCACTTTATCATATATGTATCAATAGAATATTCTGCAGCTATTAATGAGGGCAGATCTAAAATGCACTGATATCCAGTGTGAACAAAATAAGGTGCAGAGCGTATTATACATACAATGGCTACAACTGTATTTAGAAAAATAAGGAGTGAAACAAAGTTTCCAGCAAAGATTATCGAGGAATGAAACCATAGGTTAAAGGCTGATGAGGAACTTTCCAATGCTGAGCTGACACTACCTGTACAACTGATCTACCCTGGCAATTACTAAGGGTGGAATTTGGGCAGACCTGTGTGTCTTACATGTTGCTGTGTGAAGTACACAGCATCTCCCAAATGGAACCTATGCCTGACAGAACCTTCCATGATGACCGACGTAACTATTATTGGTGCTGATTAGTATGGTAGCCACTAACGTACCTATTCAGCACCTGGAATGTGGCTAGAACAACCGAGAAACTAAATTTTAATCGTATTGAATTTGAATTTAAATTGCCAAATGTGGCAAGTGGCCATCATTGTAGATAGCACAGGTACAGAGAGAAGAAAAAACCTCCAGGCTTGGTTGCAGTGAGCTGAGATTGTGTCACTACACTCCAGCCTGGTGCCTGGTGACAGAGCGAGACTCTGTCTTTAAAAAAAAAACAAAAAAAAACCTCCAGGCTTAAGCACTAAAAACCTCCTGTAAAGGACAATGATCCCATAAAGGAGACTGAAAAAGGGCAGCTAGAAAGATCACAGGAAACCCTGCAAGGTTCAGCCACCCAGCGACCAAGAATGAAAACTTTCTTAAGGAGCAACTAATTATGTCAAGTACTATTGAGAGGTTTTGTAAGGTTTAGACGCTGGTCATTTTTAGCTGGCTTGGAAAAGTCTTCTCTATTTTCAGAGGGTATTATGGAAAAATGACTATATTACCTTTCACTCATTAACCTTTTTTTTTTTTTCCTTGAGACAGAGCCTTGCTCTGTTGCCCAGAATGGAGTGCATGCAGCGGCGCGATCTTGACTCACTGCAACCTCCACCTCCTGGGTTCAAGAGATTTTCCTGTCTCAGCTTCCCAAGTAGCTAGGATTATAGGCACCCGTCACCATGCCCAACTAGTTTTTGTATTTTTAGTAGAGACTGGGTTTCACTATGTTGGTCAGGCTGGTCTCGAACTTCTGACCTTGTGATCTGCCCGCCTCGGCCTCCCAAAGTGCTGGGATTACAGGTGTGAGCCACCATGCCTGGCCTCATTAATTATTTTTAACTTTTAATTTTGAAATAATTTTAGACTGGAAGAGTTGCAAAAAGAGTACAACAGAGTTCCTATATGCCCACCACCCAGCTTCCACTGTTACCATGGTATACAATCATAATAAAATGACCCGAACTAGGAAATGAACAGTGGAACCATTCTACTAACTGGAATCCAGGCCTTCTTTGGATTTCACTGGTTTATTACTCAATGTTGCTTTTGCCTTCAGGGTCTGCTGGAGAACACAGGTGAGAACTTTAGCGGGATGTCCTTTGATTGGAGTTTCTCTGACACCTTATCTTGATTAGGTCGAGGTGACACATTTGGGGTACAGCGTCCTTCCTAGGGCCTCATCCCAGGGTACATGATGTTAATATGTTTTGTTACCTTGATCATTGGTTAAGGTGGTGTCTCTCAGGTTTGTTTGTCCTGTGTAAAGTCACTATTTTACAAGGTGATAAGTTTTTGAAATCACACAAATATTCCGTTTCTTTTAAACTTCCACCTTCTAATGAAAGTTTAAGTTCCCCATTAACCTTTCACCTATAGTTTCATTCCTTGATCATCTTTGCCTGAACCATCTGTTTTAGTCTTCATTTTTTTAATTTGGCATAGTATACTAACCTGTGTCTGTCCATCCCTCTGTATGTAAACAAAAGGGGCATGAGTCCACACTGAAACCGTGAGCGCCAATCCAGCACCACGGAGTGCCTTCCATTCGGTTATGTGTGGCTCTCCTCTGATAGTGAGGAGGCTGGTTATCGTTACCTACAGCAGCCTCCATGATTTGTTCAACCCGAGTATAAAGTCACTTTAGAATTGCTAACCTGTACTCTGGTGGGAAACGAATACACCAACTTGAGTACAATGTTTGTGCACAGTCATAATTTGTATTAGCTCTAGGATATCCAGTTGCAGCACTGTTTTCCAAAGCTACAGAGCTCTGTTCTTCCCCATCCCTTCCGTATGTTTAGGCTGATCACCTGTAATGCATTCGGATTCACTTGTCAAAAGCCTGCATCTCATCCTAGGTGCTCTCTGCATTTTGGGGTGAGATGGAGTGCACGAATCTCAAAATCTTGTTTTGGCAAATGCAAAGCAAGTTGTGCATCCATCACCACAGTAACCAAAAGAACATTTCCATGACTTAAAAATGTCCCTACAGCTGGCCCTCTGTAGTCAACTCCTCCTCCACCCAGCCATAGTAAATACTGATCTGTTTTCCAGATCTAGAACATTCCAGAAAGAATGCTTTTCCAGATGGAATTGTACAATATGTAACATTTTGGTTCTGCCTTCTTTTAACAAAATGTATTTAAGATTTTTGTCTACCGTGCTCTGTGAATCAAGTTCTTTCTCTTCACTGCTGAGTAGCATTTCATTGTGTGGATATATACAGTTTATCCATTCTCCTGCTGAATGCCATTTGGATTGTTTGTGTTTGGAGAGTAACAGTATAATATTCACATACAGGTTTTTGTGTGAACTTGTTTCTATTTCAGTTGGGTAAATCATTAAGAATGGAATTCCTAAGTTACGTGGTAAGAGTATGTTTGACTTTATGGGGAATGTCAAACTTTCCCAAAGTGGCTATACAGTTTGGCATTACCTCCAGAAATAGGTGAGTGCCCCAGTCCCTCTGCATCCTTACCTATACTTGGTACTGTCAATTTAAAAAAAAATATTTAGCTATTCTCACCGATGTGTGGTGGTGTTTCATATGGTTTTAATTTTTTTTTGTCTAATGACTTAGGTTCAGCATTTTTTGTATGCTATTTGCTGTTTATGTATCTTCCTCAGAAAAATGTTCTAATTGGGTTGTTTGCCTTCTTGAGTTTTGGGCATTCTTTATGTACACTGGATATAACTTCATTATTGTATATATAATCAGCAAATATTTTGTCTTTTGTCTTTTATCAGTGTCTTTCAGATGAGATTATGCACGTTCAGGGCGATATGGCCATAGTTATCAGTGTATTTCAAAAAGAAGTTTTAAATTTTGATAAAGCCCAACCTGCCCTTCCTTCTTTCTTTTGTTCAGTTTGGCAAAAGACTTACTAATTTTATTACCCTTTGATTTAACTTAGTTTCTCTTTTCAGTTACATTGATATCTGGTCTTTATTATTTCCTTCTTACTGCTTGAGATATAATTTGTTCTTCTTTCTTTTACTTTTAAGGAGGAAGCTTAGATAAGTGAGTTGAGGCCATCTTCTTTTTTCTATATAAACACTCAATGCTGTAAATTTCACTTTAAGCACTGTTTTAGGTGTATCCCACATATTTTATGTGGTCTTTTCATTTTGTTCAGTTCAAATTGTTTTTATTTCCCTTGAAACTTCCTCTTTGACCTGTGTATTATTTAGAAGTATGAAGTTACTTAATTTCCAAGCATATGGAGATTTTCTAGATACCTCTGTTACTGATTTCTAGTTTCATCCATTATGGTCAGAGTATAAACAGAGTATGATCTCTTTTCTTTAAAAATGTTTTAAGGTTTGTAATATGCCATACTATGATCTGTTTTGATGACTGTTGCATGAAAAACATGTATTCTGTTGTTCGGTCAAGTGTTCTATAAATGTCAAATAGGCAGACCTTGTTGATGGTGTTGTTCAGGTCTTCTATAGCATTACTAATTTTCTGACTACTACTTCTTATCAGTTACAGAAAGGTGCTGAAGTCTAGCCAGGCGTGGTAGCTCGCACATGTAATCCCAGCACTTTGGGAGGCTGAGGCGGGTGGATCACAGGTCAGGAGATTGAGACCATTCTGGTTAACATGGTGAAACCCCTTCTCTACTAAAAATACAAAAACTAGCCGGTGCCTGTAGTCCCAGCTACTGGAGAGGCTGAGGCAGGAGAATCACTTGAACCCAGGAGGCAGAGGTTGCAGTGAGCCAAGATTGCGCCACTACACTCCAGCCTGGCTACAGAGTGAGACTTTATCTCAAAAAAAAAAAAAAAAGAGAGAAAAAGAAAATGTGCTGAAGTCTCCAATTATCATTGTGACTTTGTCTATTTCTCCTTACAGTTTTATAGCTTTTATTTCATGTATTTTGATGCTCTGGTATTGGATTCATAAACATGTAAGATTGTTCTATGTTCTTAGGGAATCAACCCCTTTAATTGTTATACAATCTCACTCTCTAACTCTGGTAACTTTCCTTTTTCTGAAGTCTACTTTGTACAATAATAATAATACAGCTTCCCACTTTCTTTTGATTTGTGTTAGCATGGTATATCTTTTCTACTCTTTTGCTTTTAACCTGTTTATTTTCACAATGGGTTTTTGTAGATAGTATGTAGCTGGATCTTTTCATCCAGTTTCACAATTTCGGTCTTGTAAATTAGTGTCCTGTGATTATTCATATTGAATATGAATAACTGGATTTAATATGATTCATATTCATATTCAATACATTAGTGATTATTGATATTGTTGGATTACAATATATCAGCCACCAGTTGTTTTCTATTTGTTCCATTTGCTGTTTATTGTTAACTGTATTTTTAGAGATGGGGTATGGCTATGTTGCCCAGGCTGAACTAGAACTCCTGGGCTCAAGTGATCCTCTCACCTCAGTCTTCTGAGTAGCTAGCACTTCCCAGCTTCAGTTCCATTTGGTTTTTGGCCACATTTTGGGTTAAGTGTCTTAAACTCCATTTTACCTCCTCTATTAACTTATTAATCATACTTAAAAATATTTTCAAATTGTTTTCCTAAAAGCTCCAATATGTATTCTTAAATACTTAGTGTCCACCTCCAAATAATAAAATACTGTTTCAAATGCAGTATTAGGACCTAATGATGGTATATTCCCAATGCCTATCCCCCAACCTCTGTAGCAGTACTGTCACAAAGATTTCTCTTATGTATGCTATAAATCTAGTTTGCTGGTTTTGCTTTAGTCTGTTACCTTTATGAGTAATTTTAAAAATTAAAAAATAGAATTTCTTTTATCTTCATTTATTCAATTTCCAGTGCATTTTACTTCTTTGTGTAGATCCAAGTTTTTGGTCTGGTATCGTATCTCCTGTCTTAAGAAATTCCTTTAGCATTTCGTATGGAATAAGTGTGCTGGAAATAAATTCCCATGATTTTTGTTTGAGAAAATCTTTATATCACCTTTATTTTCTTAAAGATCATTTTCACTAGGTACAGAATTCTGTGCTGACAGTTTTTCTGGTTGAAGATGTTACTCTTATCACCTTTTTAGTGTGCATGTTTCTGAAGAAATGGCTGTCATAATTCCTATCTTTGTTTCTCTGTTTTGCTTTCAAGATTTTCTTTTTTCATCAGTTTGTATATGATATGCCCAAGTGTTCTGTTTTATTTTTGTTTTGTATTTAACTTACTTGATATTCTTTGGCTATGTAGAAAATTATTGTTATTTATTCAAATATTTCTTCTGAGATTCCAATTATACCTATGTTAGATACTTTGAGGCTGTCTCCAAATTCTTAGAATACTCTGTTTGCTTCATTCTTCTTTCTCTATTTCAGCTTAAATAATGATTCTTCTCTAGACTGTGCTGAGTGCCATCAAATGTGTTCCTTATCTCTAGCACTGATGTTACAGATGTTACATTTCCATTTGAGTATTTCTTTCATGCCCATCTGTATGCTGTGATTGCCCACCTGGTCCTGTATGGTGCCCAGTTTGTCAATTAGTCTTTAATGCATCATTCATAATTATTTTCAGTTCCCTGTCAGATAGTTCAAACTTCTGTGTCCTATCTAAGTCTCGTTCTGATGATGGTTTTATCTCTTGGGAGTTTTTTTCCCCTTCTTACCTATCCATATGCCACATAATCTCTTGTTGAGAACTGCATAACTTGTGTAGGACAACAGAGACTGGTGATGCCTTTCCTTTTAGACCTGTGTTTGAATTAATCTAATTTTTAGGCCAGGTTTGAGTATTATAATGGTTTTATAGCATGTACAACAGCTTTCAAATTCCTCTAGTTACACTTTTTGCCTCAGTTGGTGGCTGGTTTGGTGGATAACTTTTTTGTTTTTTCTCATTATCTGCTCCACTTTCAGCTTCTGGTCTTTCCTTGGCATTGTGCCTTGGAGAGGGTCTGTCTTCTGCTAATTACTTGACTCAGGCCATCAGTGTGAGGGAATGTATTCTCTTCCCAGGTCCAAAAGGGGGCGTGGATTCAAAGGCAAGAACTTCCCAGCACCATACCTCCACCCATGTCTCCATCTGGGAGCTTAGAGGTCTTTGTTTAACTTTCCCGTGGGAAGATGGACTGTCCAAGTAAGCTTCCTTTGTCTAGAACCCATGAAAAGCTACGGGAGGACTCTGGGCCAAACAACAAATCAATGGTTAGAATCCAGCAGAAGTTTAAAGGAACTCCTTTCATAGGACAGAAAACTTGAATAGGGCAGGAATAACTCCCAGGTTAAAAGCCCCCTTCTCTTTCATCTGGGAGGACTCCATCTCTGGATCTCCTACCACAACATCGTGGGAGCTGCTTTTCTTTCTCCTTTCTCTCTGCCTAAATAAATCACTTTCTGCAAAACTCTTTGGGGTCCAATATTTACTTAAAATGAGCTCACCATGTCTGGTGGGGTCCTCTCTCCCATTCTTGGGTGAGTGAGGGACCAAGGGCCTGGAGGAACACATCCTATCTGGAAGCTGAGCCTTCCCGGTGCCCCACAACCCAGTCTCAAGTGCACAGTAATCCAGTGCTGCATCTTGCTCCTCCCTGCAAATATGTTTCTCTCCTTAGATTTTAGGCCTGTTGGTTGCTCTGTAACCTCAGCATTATGAGGTCAAGAAAGGTCTTGAACTTGCCTTTCATCCAGATTTTTCAGTTGTAGGTTGGGGTGATGCTATTTCTGGCTCTCTACAGCCTGGAGCAGAAACTGGAAGTAATCTTACTCTGAATCTATTCAACTTATGGGTCATCTTCTCTAACTCAGGTATACCATGACCCTAGACATGGACACTCACTTTTCCTGGATTTCCTCAATGATGTCTCTTGTAGTTGGCCTCTGTACACGTAGCTGAAAGGGCTTTACATATCCCTGTTTTTCCTTGCCCTCCCATATTAACTTAAGATCTCCCTTCTTATTCTACTTTCAAACATTATTTGCTCTTATATTGTAAGAAAAGGTAAATATATAAATTTTAAACCTTAAGTTCCTGTAAAGCATGTAAACAATAATCATGCTTAACTAAGCATTTTCCTTTGCATTGGTATATATCTCTAGTAAATTTCTAACATTTAAATTATGACATTTTAAAATTGCATCCTCATGTCTCTCAAGTAAAGAGTATTAAAGGTTTCCATAGCTCTTTAAATTTGTAGGTCTCAAAATGTTAATAAAATAAAGATCTCCCAGAAACATTGGTACTCCAAAGCTATACCAAATGGCAAGATATCTCCCTTCTTCCCCAGAGTCACATCCTGTGTGTGCTATTAGAGCCAAATATAAGCATCTGTCTAAGGAGTGGGAATACTTGTTTCTAAAGTAGCTATGTAAGCACAGAGCGACCTGCAGCTTAAATTTTTATAAAAAGTCAGTGATGGAATATTGCCATCTACTTAAAGATACAGCCTTCAAAAAAAAATAGCACCAATGGCATTACAAAATATATGGTAGATGATGAGAAACTGAATATGCAGGAAGTGAGAAGGGAAGCCATTCTAAGATGAGGACCAAGGTCAGTATGTAAAACTGTGATGCCACCATGAGATCTGAGGCCCAGGTAGCTGTGAGTAGGACTGGCAGGACCAGACAATGAGAAAAACATTTACACATTTTAGCTTTAAAACCTCCTAAAAGAGTTCTCTCTGCTAGGACCCATGTCCTAGTTCTCTCTGCTAGGACCCATTATTCCATATAATGATCTATAGTAAAAATTGTATTTAAGATAAATTATTTTGCAGAGGGGGAATGTGGGGGTCTGGAGGGACAAGAATACAAAAAGCAGCTGTTATTATTATCTTGTGCCCTTAAATGTAACAGAAGAGGAAACCAATAGAATGCTTAACATCCTATCAAAGAGAAAAGAAAAAAATGAAAGAGCAGGATTTGCTCTATCTGCGGAGTCCAGTGGGCTCTACTATAGTTTGAATGTGTGTATCCCTCCAGCATCCCTGTGTTGGAACTTAAAACCCAATGTGACAGTGATAACAGGCATGGCCTTACAAAGTGACAAAGTCATGAGGGCTCTGTTCTTATGAATGGGATTTGTAACCTTTCAATAGGGCTGGAAGGAACTATCTTTCTGCCTTTCAGTCCCTTGTGCCATGTGAGGACACAGCGTTTGTCCCCTCCCAAGGAAATAATGTTCAAGGAGCCATCTGAGAAGCAGAGACCTGGCCCTCACTAGACACTGAACCTGGTGGTGCTCTGATCTTGGACTTCCCAGCCTCCAAATCTGTGAGAAATAGGTTTCTGTTCTTTATCCATTACCTAGTCTTGGTATTTTGTTACAGCAGTACAAACTAAGAAGGTTCCCAGTGATGCCACCTGTGGGAGCTGCAGTTTGATTTTTTGTGCTGTCAATTATGTCAAGTTCTGAAAAATACAGCTGTTATCATTACTAATCTTAGAAATTTCACCCCTACTGTGTAAAATGTCTACATTTGACAATGATAGAGATTAATAACATTTAGTGACCAAGATCCATCACAACTTCCAAATTATATTAACATTCAGGAAGAAAAATGAAGGGAAAGTTAGCTACATTTAAATGTCAATCTAACTTGATTTCTATACTATTGAACTTCCCAATGCCATACAGTGCAACTAGGTTAACTTTTCAAAATGATGCCAATTTTACTCTGATCCAGTACTTTCGGAGTGCTCCTTACCTCGTATTTGAGAAAAGTAAATATACGTCAAGAAAAAAGCCAAAGTTTTTCACTGAATTTAGGTCACAAAGATTTTCTGTTTAAAATGACAGAAAGGGATTATTATTTTAATATACTTCATTATTTAAAATGCATTCTAAAATCCACTCTGTTTAAAGAGATGCCTATGTAGGGAGGAAAATCTGTAACTTGTTGGTATTTTCAGAAAAGTTAATTTTTCAGTAAAAGCAAACTGCAACTATTAATACAAATGCATTCTAGTACCATTTACTTTCAGAATAGTATTTGCTGCTGCCTTTATTATCACTACTATTACTATTGCTACCTAGGCAAATCAAGAAATATGAAAAGCAGCAACACGGGGTCATGGCTTTATGCTCATGAATCATATGTGTGATGTTTACACAGAGGATGGCAGCCCATGGAAGGAGATCCTTGGGGCTGCCTGGCTGACTCACCACCACCATTCAGTTCTGCGCACATCCCCGTCACTGGCTTGACTGATGATTTGGTCCTTGACTCAATGTAGAGCTGCTGACCTCGATTCTTAATTTTGTTGACACTGGCATAGACCTGCTGCAAGGTCATCTAAGGGAAAGGAGTGATAAAGTAAGTTTAAAAAATTATAAAAATGTCCACTAAAAGATACATAAGCAAAATACACTTAGCTTGTTTCTCTGAAGACATAATGACTAAAGCACATTAACTGCTTTAATTCAGTTTCCTGCACCACACCACAGTATATTGGTACCAACAAATTCTAAATAAATCTGTTCACAATATGCTAATTTTTAGAATGCATACAATTAATGCAAATATCACTTTCTTAAGGTGGTATTTTCTTTTTACAGACTTTTTTTTCTTTTTGAGATGGAGTCTCGCTCTGTCGTGCAGGCTGAAGTGCAGTGGCGCGATCTTGGCTCATTGCAACCTCTGCCTCCCAGGTTAAAGCAACTCTCCTGCCTCAGTCTCCTGAATAGCTGGGATTATAGGCACATGCCACCATGCCCGGCTAATTTTTGTATTTTTAGTAGAGAGGGGCTTCTCCATGTTGGTCAGGTTGGTTTTTAACTCCTGACCTCCTGATTTGCCCACCTCAGCCTCCCAAAGTGCTGGGATTACAGGCATGAGCCACTGTGCCTGGCCTACAGGCATTTTTTTCTAAACCAAAGTGGATTAAAATATCTGTTATCAGATGAGGTCTTTAAGTCAGGAACATATACTAAGATGTCACCACGTGCAGAACCGCAGTAACACAGAGAATGCGATGCCTGGGCAAGAAGGTGACATGAGCCCACGCACCTGCTCCGCCTTTGTCTCCTCCGCGCAGTGCCCACTGGACTCACTGGAGGAGGCCATGCTGACAAGCTGCTCCTGTGACCCGCTGCTTCCCAGGCTCCCATAGCCGCTGGACACACTCACGTGAACTGGCTAGAAGGACAAAGAGGAACAGTTTCAGAATTGCTGGGTGCCTAAATGCAGCCACCTCAGAGCTCATCTAGAATCATCTTAAAATTAAGATGACAATTTCTAAAATCTCAAATTAGGGTGTGCAGGTTGGTCCTGACACACGAAAGGGATGCCTCCGTCATTTCAGTAATTCTCAAGGGAACGGTCTTATGTTCTAGTCTAGGTAGGCAGGACAACCTAGGACCAGACAATGGAGTGGTAATGTTTGTTTCTAAAGTAGCTGTGTAAGCACAGAGCTATTGTCAAAAAAAACCCCATAATGTAATTAATTTTTAAAAACATGAAAATAAAGTCTAGTTCTTTGTGCCCAGTTTAGAACAGAGAGAGCAAACTATATATTATACTTTTTCCAAGAACATGGCAGGTGTTTCATGCACCCTAGAGATTTTATGGGCAACATTCTGAAAACCACTGAGGGCAGTTAGTTACTCTGTGTGAAGCCATTAGTTTTATTTACCACTTACTCATTGAATCTCTTGTAGAAAATACCTTTGGTATTTCTTTTCAACACATAAATTTTTCCACTTTTACCTTACAGTAGTTAAGAGAAACTGAGACCTATATCCCTCTCCTTCCATCTTTAAAATTGAAATTATTTAAAAAATACTGAAGTCAAAACCCAAAGGCTGAGCACACTAGTGCCTCTGGAATGTAAGAATTCTCTGTCACTTGGTTTGCTGTCTTAAAATGGGTTCTTACAAAAATATTCTGTGTAATGCAGGATAAGGAAAAAGAACAAAATGTAATTTAAAAATAAAAAGAGAAAGACAAAAATTTCTGGAATGCAGAGGGCAAAGATTTGTCTCCCTTTATAATTTATTTTTGTGAAGTGATTTTACTGAGCATTAAAACAAAACACAAGTCAGAGAATTTTGCATTCTTAAAAATTTCACCTTACCTGTAAGAGAAGTTTGTAAATTTGTTCTTGTAATTCTGTTATGTCTTTGTCATTATTGTTCATCTTTTTTATTTTGGTAGCAAAAACATCCTCATTTAGTGGGCTCCTAGAAAATGTCCAGTGAGAGATTGAGCCAAACAATTTTTTGAAAGTAATTTTTAATAGGCTATTCCAAGAATAGACCTATGCTTTTACAAAACAATTCTTTGACTCCAAAGAGAAAATAGGAGGCTAGAATTCTACTCATGGAGGTTCAGAAAATACTAAGAAACAAATGAGACATTAACAGGCCAGTGAAGTTTCTCTAAAGCAGTCATCTTTCTATAATGGTTTCAGTGCTATATGTGTACAAATCTAAACTTAGTGACAAGTAACCTCCTTTGCTACTAAAATATCTTCAGCAAATAACTGGTTTCAAAAATTGACAGTAACTGAGTTAATTTACTGTAAGAATTTTAAAGACCCCAGTTTGCCAAATGGCATTTACCGTTTAATGCACCTAACACTTTTGCTATCTAATTAAGACGGTTCTGCAACCCACCCCAGTGGTGAAAATGCAGCTGTTACAATTTCCGTCTTATTTCTACTCAAATTCTAGAGCATCTTCAATATGTGACCTGAATACAGTGAATGGCACACATGTCAACAGAGAGGATCACAAAGAAGGGAAGAAACTGACGTTTACTTGGAACCTTCTATGTGACAGGCACTGTACTAGTTTTTTTTTTTTTGAGATGGAGTCCCACTCCATTGCCCAGGCTGGAGTGTAATAGCTGGAATGCAATGGTGCAATCTTGGCTCACCACAACCTCTGCCTCCTGGGTTCAAGCGATTCTCCTGCCTCAGCCTCCTGTAGCTGGGATTACAGGGACACGCCACCATGCCTGGCTAATTTTTTGTGTTTTTAGTAGAGACAGAATTTCACCATGTTGGCCAGGCTGGTCTCAAACTCCTGACCTTGTGATCTACCTGCCTTGGCCTCTCAAAGTTCTTTGATTACAGGTGTGAGCCACCACGCCTGGCCCTTTTCTGTTTGTTTTTGAGATGGAGTCTCATTTTGTTACCCAGGCTGGAGTGCAGTGGCATAATCTTGGCTCACTGCAACCTCTGCCTCCCAGATTCAAGTGATCTTCCTGCCTCAGCCTCCTGAGTAGCTGGGCTTATTGGCGCATACCACCACACCCAGCGAAGGTTTGTATTTTTAGTAGAGATGGGGTTTCGCCATGTTGGTCAGGTTGGTCTCGAACTCCTGACCTCAAGTGATCCACTCGCCTTGGCCTCTCAAAGGGCTAAGATTACAGGAGTGCACCACTGCAGCCGGCCTATACTAGTTTTTATAACATACAAGAATACCTAACATTTTGAAAACCCTCATTATTCCAAGTGCTTTACAAGTATTTTCTCCTTTACCTGATTAGAGACCTTTTCCAGGTGGCCTAACAGGTAAGGGGGAGGCAGGTGTTCACGAAGGGACCAGAGTCTAAGCTAGAGTCCACACTGTGTGCCACCACACTGTACTGCCATGTACATGTGCCATGTACATGCCACCATTCAGTATGCCATGAGGCATACTGAATCAGCTGCATCAGCTCACAGAGTCCTCACAACAACGCCCAGAAATTAGGAATTATCCCTGATATGCAAAGTCAGGGGATGAGTCAGACTGTCTCATCCCGAGGAACTGGCCCAAGTTCACATAACCGAGAAGCAGCAGTTAGTTAGGATTTGAGTCCGCCTAGGTCTGACCCCAAACCTGTGCTGTCCTTTTTCCACTATGCCAGCCTGCCGTGTCTCACAAGTAACTGATATATGCAGCTCAGTAACCTAAAAACTGAGTTTCCCAAAGGCATAAATTATTATCAGGAAAATCACAGGATGCTGACAGTGTCATAAAAGCAGGAATAATATCTCCATGTATAGGGAATATTCATGCCCCCATCACAGTGGAACAGCTGCACCAATCACCTTTCTTTCCCTTCGCATCTAGACTATATCTAGATCAATATTTATCTGCATGGTGTCAGGTATACCATAAGTCTGTGGCAAGCAGTACCTGAATATACAACTTGATTTCACAACCTGACACACTATACGTTTTATGTAACCATCTCTCCCTATATCCCACTGCGGCGTAAGCTCCACAAGGTGAAGTACTTTGTTACTTTTTTCCACTCCTGGATCTTCAGTGCCTGGAATGGTGTCTGGTCCATAGCAGGCACCCACTACATATTTGTTAAAGAAACAAATACATGATTGACTGATCTGGGAATAAAAGTACAGCTGGTTCCTGATATAAACACATCCTGTACATTTATTGTGAGCTTGAAAACCTTTCAGAGGTATTTGGAATTTGTTTTCTGAGTAAAATGGAAATAGACCAGATTGCTTTATACTATGAGATTTAGATATCCTAGTTGTGAAAATTTCTGCAAAACTCTGTGTGTGTGTGTGTGCGCGCGCGTGCGCGCACGCGCAAATTTTTTTTTTTTTTTTTTTTAAAGAGACAAGGTCTTGTTCTTTTGCCCAGCCTGGAGTGCAGTAGGGCAATTGTGGCTCACTACGTCCTTGAACTCCTGGACTCAAGTAACCCTCTTGCCTCAGCCTCCTAGGTAGCTGGGACTATAGTTACATACCCCCATGCCCAGCTAATTTTTGTTTTTAAATTTTTTATAGAGATGGGATCTATGTTGCCCAGGCAAGTCTTGAACTCCTGGCCTCAAGTAATCCTCCTGCGTCATCCTCTCAAAGTGCTGGGATTATAAGCATGAGGCAGTAAAGTGTATTTTAAATCAGTAATTATCTAATGTGAAAATGATTAATCTGCAGGCAATAAGGAGATAGCCTTCATCAAATAGCAACAAAAATGCCATGAAATATTACATTGCTGTGTATGTAAAGTGAAACAGGAGTAAGAAAGAAAACCTGGCTGCAGTCTCCACTTCCAACTCTTCCCCAGGTGATCCCTGGGAAGGTTACTCTATTTCACTGAGTATGGATTTTACCTGTAAAATGAGAGGTGAGGACACCTAACCAGCCTGCCTGCAGCACTGCTGGCAAGGACTGAGAGAGACATGGGGAGGGTCCCTTGCTCAACAGTCTCGCAGCCCCCTTCCCATTTCAGTTGTCACACTTAACAAACTCTAGTTATATACAACAGTGCCATTTTTATTTACTGTCTCTCCCATGACAGTGTGGATTCCCTGATGGTCAAGAGAACATTCTGATTACCATCACATTCCCAAGGCCTAGCACCCTGTCTTACACGGAGCTTTATACTTTATAAATATGTGATTATTATTTTATAGCAAGATTAATAGCTACTAGACCTTAAATCCTTTTCTCACATAATCTTTGTTGTTAAGATGTAAACACCAGTGTGATTTTTAAAAATAATGAAAACATTCTGAATATTCATTATATGTTGGGTAATTTCACATATATTTAATCAAACCACTGAAAAGACAGCTTCAGAAATCTAGGATATGTCTCTAACCCTGACTGGGGTACACAGAACATCACCGAGCCCCAGATGGAAGCCTCATGAGGGCATCTTACTAGCTGTGGTTTCCTACATTCAGGCCAAGCAACCATCAGATTTCATGTTCATTTCCCAATAGGTTATGGTACTTGGGAGGTATGGGGTGGGGAGAGGGGAGGAAGTCCTTTCTGAGCAATACAAATGGTAATTACTTGGCAACTGTTATTTCTCAATTATAAAATTCGTGTTCTAGTACAAATCAGTCTCATGAGTTAGGGTGGCCAGGAGCCCATGTCTTCCATTAAGTTCTAGATGTGCTCTGCGGAGAGGCCAAACCCTGGAGCAGAAAGAGGTAAGAGCAGCCTTGAGACCTCTTCTCACCATGGCTCTGCATCATCTCTAATGTAATATTAACAGGTGATCAAATATGTCTCACTGGTAGATCTACTGTTCTCAGTTTCTTCCTCACGTAGACAATGCTGTATAGCAAGATACCAAAAAACCAAACTTCTCCATCTCAGCATGATTCTGGAGTCAAGTAAAATTTCCATGCTTAAAAAGAAGACATCGAAGGGAAACCTAGGGCCAGGTCAAAAGGCCTAGAATTCAATTAAAAATGGACCAAAGGGTTGGGCATGATGGTTCATGCCTGTAAGCCCAGCAGTTTGGGAGGCCAAGGTGGGCAGATCATTTGAGGTCAGGAGTTTCAGACTAGCCTGGCCAATGTGATGAAACCCTGTCTCTATTAAAAATACAAAAAAAATGAGCCAGGGGTGGTGGTATGCACCTGTAATCCCAGCTACTGGAGAGGCTGAGGAAGCCGCAATTGTGCCATGTACTCCAGCCTGGGTGACAGAGTGAGACCCTGTCTCAAAAAAAAGACCAAAAACTCAAGGGCCTGGGAGTACCGTAGGCACAAGAAGTAGAGGGCCGGGCTGGTCTAGTTCCATTCCACGTGATGCTGTTATGTGACACTGACAGGAAACAGCAAGCAAACAAGCTGGTGTCAACTATGCTGGCAGGAAAAGAAATATTAAAAAATGGACACAGGCTGGGTGTGGTGGCTTACAGCTTCAAAATCCCAGCACTCTGGGAGGCTGAGGCAGGAGGATGCTTGAGCCCAGGAGTTTGAGACCTACCTGGGCAACATGGCGAAACCCCAGCTCTACAAAAAATACAAGAATTAGCTGAATGTGTTGGCAGGTACCTGTGGGCCCAGCTACTCAGGAGGCTGAAGTGGGAGGATCACCTGAGCCCAGGGAGGTCCAGGCTGCAGTGAGCTGTGAATGCACCACTACACTTCAGCCTGAGCAACAGAGGGAGAACCTGTCTCAAAAAAAAAACCAAATAAACAAAAATAGACATAAATAAGTGGAATTTGATGGCAGAAGGCTGATATAAAAAGTTTTTACATGCTCACTAAAGAGATCTTCAACATAGAGAGAGAGAAAAAAAAGAAAAAACCCTAAAGTCCTAGTACCTACACTTAACCAAAATTCCTATTTTATTTCCTTTCAATTCTCTTTTCTTTATTCCATAGTGTGTTTATGTTTTAAACATAATTATAATTCTAAGTATAATTTTGTAGGCTAATTTTTACATTTAATGTGCCAAATATTTTTCCATGTTATGTGATCTCTGCAAAAATTTTCATTGACCAATATAATAATACATCAAGCAAATATTCCAGAGTTCACTTAAAAATGGACATTTAAGCTACTTTAAGGATGACATTATGTCTTACTTTAAGGCTCATGGTACATACTGTCAAACTATCTTCCAAATGCACCAAACATCTGTGCTTTATTTAGTTCATGTGTCAACTAACTGAGTCAGAAGGCAGTCAATAAGCTATGGAGTATTATTTGATACAAGGTATGTTTTAGAAAATATGAAAACTGACTAGCTTACGTTCGAACTTTATGCCGACCAATGATGAAAGAAACCTTCCTGGTCCAGGGATTCACGAAGCTGGACCAACTGGAATCCAGAATGATGTAGTCTCCATTTTGAGTACAGAATCGAATGGGAGAATGTTCAAAGGGAGGATGCCCTGCATACTTCAAGACTATATAAAATAAAAAGATGAAAATGGGATTTATTTAATGCAGATACTAACTACAAATGTCCTTTTTTAGCCACTTATTTGTAAATGTTTTAGTGTTGTTTTTTTTTTGAGACACAGCCTTGCTCTGTTGTCCAGGCTGGAGTGCAGTGATGTGATCTTGGCTCACTGCAACCTCCACCTCCCAGGTTCAAGCAATTCTCATGCCTCAGCCTCCTGAGTAGCTGGGATTACAGGCATGTGCCACCATGCCCAGCTAATTTTTGTATTTTCAGTAGAGATGGATTTCACCATGTTGGCCAGGCTGGTCTCGAACTCCTGACCTCAGGCGATCCACCCACCTTGGCCTCCCAAAGTGTTGGGATTACAGGTATGAGCCACTGTGCCTGGCCTGTTTTAGTATGTTTAAATAGAAAACAATTGCTTTAGCAGTTTCAATCTACTGTCTATCTGGTTAAAGATACCTCATTGCACTCTAATGAGATGAAAAGAAAAATCAGAACAAATCAATTATAGAAAAACATTTCTTCCAATAAAGAAGTAGGTCCTTACCTTTTTGGTGTATGGCAACCATCAGAGAACGATCTTCAGGGTGCAGGTAGGTTAAGATTGATGTTCCAATCAGGTCCTGAGGTAGGTAACCCAGCAAAGGCACTGCTCTGGGATACAGATACACAACACCGGTAGCATGTTACACTCATCAGTTGATTCCTATAATTTATATACTTTTAAAAATACTTCTTAATTTCATTGTAAATTTGAAACAATTTTATGCAAAGCTGTTTATCTTAGCATTTATAAAAACAAAAAAGAACCCAAATGTCGATCCTGGGGGAAATGGTTGTGTAATCTAACACGTTGGTTATCTGACACGTTGCATCAGAACCATCTAGGGAACTTGCTAAAATACAGATCATATATTTAATCAAAGAACTGAAATAGAGCCTCAAAATCTAGGATATATCTCTAACCCTGACTGGGGTGGGGAACAGACCATCACTGAGCCCCAGATGGAAGCCTCATGAGGGCATCTTACTGGCTGCGGTTTCCTATGTTCATACCAAGCAATCATTGGATTTCATGTTCATTTCCCAATAGGTTTCCGTACTTGGGAGGTAGGAGGTGGGAAGAAGGAATGAAGTCCTTTCTGAGCCATATAAATGATAATTATTTGGCAGCTGTTATTTCTTAATTATCAACTTTGTGTTCTAGCACAAATCAGTCTCATGAGTTAGGGCAGCCAGGAGCCCATGTCTTCCATTAAGTTCTAGACGTGCTCTGCAGAGAGGTCAAATCATAGGCTCACTGTAAGCTTACTAAATCAGAATCTCTGGAAGTAAGACCAAGCATCTGTATTTTTAGCAAGTTCCTTAGAGGACTCCGATGCCCTCCATTATGTTTATGTTGCCATTTAAAAAGTCTACAAAAAGCATATCGTAACATAGAAAGATGCTGATGATGTTAAATGAATAAAGCAGGTTGCTAATTCATACAGCATAATTAAAATTACATAAAAACAATGTCATCCAAAAGATGACATCAGATAGACAAACAGCTAGTATACAGATATAGTTTCAGGATAAAGGCTCATTGGAAACTTAGAATGGTAAGACTAAGGATGCCTCAGAAAAAAACTGGATTCTGTAAGTATTTTCCATGTGTAGAAACCCACAAACATTTTCTTTTTATTTGTTGTTTTGAGACAGAGTCTTACTCTGTTGCCAGGCTGGAGTGCAGTGGCATGATCTTGGCTCACTGCAACCTCCATCTCCCAGGTTCAAGATTACCCTGCCTTAGCCTCCTGAGTAGCTGGGACTATCTAATACAACAGATTTAAGCTATTTTTAGAATTATATTTAACTAAATTTTCTTACTTTATACAGATTAAGTATCTCACCCATTACTATTTGGTTTCAGAGTAAATATCAAATAAACTCACTTTCAGATGTTAAAATTTTTTAATTAAAAAAACTATCAAGGCTGGGCATGGTGGCTCATGCCTGTAATACTAGCCCTTTGGGAAGCCAAGACGGGCGGATCAAGAGGTCAGGAGATTGAGGCCAATATGGTGAAACCTGATCTCATCTAAAAATACAAAAATTAGCCGGGCATGGTGGCACGCTGCCTGTAATCCCAGCTACTTGGGAGACTGAGGCAGGAGAATCGCTTGAACCAGGGAGACGGAGGTTGCAGTGTGTGGAGATTACGCCACTACACTCCAGCCTGGTGACACAGTGAGACTGTCTCAAAAAAAAAAACAACAAAAAACAAAAAACACACAACGATCAAAAAAATGTTTTTGACATTTTCGCTTTACAGTTATGTTTGGTGTGGTGTGTTGGTTCCCAGATTTTCAAATTTCATGAGTAAGTAAAATTTTAAAATAAATGTGGGAAAAAAACTTGGGATACTGATGTAGTGATACTTATATTTACTCCAAATAAAGATATTAAAAAACAGCAATACACAACTGCCTACAATTACTATCTTTTAAATAACAAAGACTATTTCAACATCCCCCAAAAGTAGGAAGGACATAAGTTCAAAATAAAGACCATTTCTTTACAAAAAAATCATCTGTTCTCTCTGCCTTTGCCCCACTTCAGACTAACAGAAATTGCATACTAAGCTGATTTGAGATACGCCTGTCAAGTGGAAATAACACCAGAATAGGTGCTAGAAGACCAGAGTCTTGCTCCCAGTTTGAGCACAATCAGATACTACACATCTGTTCTCAGCAAACCGGCCCCTGGGTTGTCTTCCTCTGTAAAATGAAAGAATTCTTGGCCTACCTAAAGTATACTGTTGTGAAATCAAATGTAACTTGTAATCACTTTATAATATGCAGGATATTTATATTAAAAATTTAGATAACATGTTTCCATGTAACAAAAATCAAACAGGTAAATGGATAGATTTCAGTTATATAATGTATAAACATGCAAACATAATGTAAACTTCTTCACATTTATATTTATTTCCAGAAACAAATTTCTTTTAGGCTTAAAGAAGTACTTACTTTTCATCTACTTCAAGAAAAACACACCCTGGGGTGTGTGTTGTGGTAAAGATTCTTTTATTCACTGGGATTCGAGGAGCTATGAAAAAAAAAGAGACTTATTTAAAGGTGAATATCTGATTATTCACTTAACTACTTAAAATATTAAAAAGAGAACAAAATCTTTATGAAATTGAAGAGGAAAAATTAATAAAAATAAAATCAATACAGGAAAGAGACGCAGAAATTAAATTTTTTTTTTATAAGCAAACTTCCCTGAGTCCTTCTCTATCCCATGGAATTGTGTCCTGCTTTGCAAGTTGTGTAAGTTTTTAAATTCTTATATTCTTGTTCTCTATAGCCAATAACTGTAAGTTTCTGTAGCACAGCGAAGGTCATAAGAAATGCCCAAGCAGGCAGGACTCCAGCCTTCTGGGCACTGTAGGAGAAGGCAACAGATAAGGCTTGGGCTAGAAACCTTGAGCTTGACAGATAGCGAACATCTGGGTCTCGTAGCAACAGTCATATGTAAGCCTAAGTTAGGTGCCTATCATTGCTTGATAAATTGCAAACTTGTTTTAGTGCCACTGTGTATTTCACGTATAAAAAGTAAAGCCCTGCCTTTGATAAGGGCTCAGCCATTTTGTTCCCAGTCAGGGACCCAGCTGGGCCAGTGTACACCTAAAATAAACTCCTTCTGTAACCTCAATGGTCTCTCTGAAATCCTGCAACAAAATGGTACAAATCTCATTTAGCGGCCTGGCCTTCAAGCGGCCAAAGCTACAGTTAAGTGATAATTTCATTACTAACTGCATTTTATTTAGGGCAAAATATGAAGCCTACAAAGTCAATTTTAAACAGAGACAGAAAGAATAGGCACATTAAATAGTTATCTCTCTTTTTTTTTTTTGAGACATAATCTCACTCTATCCCCCAGGCTGGAGTGCAGTGGCACAATCTCGGCTCACTGCAATCTCCGCCTCCCAGGTTCAAGAGATTCTCCTGCCTCAGCCTCCCAAGTAGCTGGGATTACAGGCACCATGCCTAGCTTATCATAAAAAATTTAATAGTTAAAACTGGAATAACTTAAAAGTTTAATCAGATTTAGTAGCTGCATATAACTAAACAAACAAAAATATTACAAATATTATTTAGTACCATATGGATATTCGATGTCAGGAGTTCGAGACCAGCCTGGCCAACATGGTGAAACCGTCTCTAGTAAAAACACAAAAATTAGCCAGAGTGTTGGTGCACATCTATAATCCCAGCTACTTGGGATGCTGAGGTAGGAGAATCACTTGAACCTGGGAGGCGGAGGTTGGAGTGAGCCAAGATCATGCCACTGCACTCCAGCCTGGGAGACAGAGCAAGACTTCATCTCAAAAAAAAAATTGGTATGGTAAGTTCTGTTCTAATGCTTGCTTTAAAAATGAAGTGCTTGGTGGCTCACGCCTGTAATCCCAGCACTTCGGGAGGCCAAGGGAGGCTGATCACTTGAGGTCAGGAATTTGAGATCAGCCTGCCCAAGAAGGTAAAAACCTGTCTCTACTAAAAATACAAAAATTAGCAGGGCATTGGGGCAGGCACCTGTAATCCCAGGTATTCGGGAGGCTGAGGCATGAGAATCGCTTGAACCTGGGAGGTGGAGGTTGCAGTGAATTGTGCCACTGCACTCCAGCCTGGGTGACAGAGCGAGACTCAAAAAAAAAAAATAAATAAAATAATGAAGTGACTGATATATTAGGGAACAGTTTGAGCAAATGCGACTATCTCATTTGCATATGCACTATTTCATTTTCAAGAAAGCTTAAGTGAATGCAGAAAACAGCATCCAGTTGAAAGGAAGTACTTACGAATACACAAAAACAAGTGTGATGGCTCATACCTATAATCCCAGCACTTTAGGAGGCCAAGGCAGGAAGATCACTAGAGCCCAGGAATTTGAGACCAGCCTGGGCAACATAGTGTGACCCTGTCTCTACAAAAAATAAATAAGTAAATAAAATTAGTCGGGCATGACAGTGAGTGCCTGCGGTCCTAATTACCTTGGAGGCTGAGACCAGAGGATCACTTAAGCCTTGGAGTCTGAGGCTTCAATGAGCCACGATCACACACTGTGCTCTAGCCTGAGTGACAGAGCAAAACCCTGTCTCGAAACAAAGCAAAACAATAACAAAAAAAGAATAAGCAAAAACATACATATATACCTCAAACATCTACCTGTTACCTCAGTCCATCCTGTGGTATGAGCCATATTTACTGTAGTGTTTGTATATTTCCTAATCATTTCACACGTGTGAAACTATGTTATCATTTTTGATTCCTGTCTAATTTTTAATGTGCAACTAAGTTTTTGAGTTTTGTGCTCCTAAACCCCTTTTTCCCATAAGCCCTGTGGTTTCTACTGTATGACAGTTGCACAGGATGGTGATTTGTAGGAGACAGTATGTCATATTATATCCAAACTGACTTTAAGGAATACATGGAAGCTGCCTGTGGATTAATACCTGCACTAGAAATATAGCTCTGCTCGTAAAAGATATGATATACATTTTACTCAGGGAGTTTCACACTTCAAAAACATAAAATCACTCTTGTGGCCTCTCTGGGAAACAATTTCAGCACTCTTCTTTCACACAAGACAAGCAGAAGGCCACACTGAATGGGTCACCAGAAGAGAGAGGACTAGAAGATTGCATCTGCTGCGACCATTCGTTCAGCCATGCAGACCACGAAGGCAATGACTACACAAGCAGCCAAGGTCAGTAAACAGACATCAGTGAAAAACAGCTTCAAACCCCTGAAGAGTTTAAGGGTCAAACTGGAGACCCAAGTGCTCTTTTTTTGTTCTCTGACTGACATAAACAGACTTTCCCATGTTCCTATCTGATTGCTGACATTTCTGCATCTTATCTACTGACTTACCTTCATAACCAGAGTGAATCTTTTCAACCACAGTGAGACAGCAAGGCTCTGATTCCGATTCTGGCTGGGCAGGGTGATGGACATGAATCAGATAAGGGATGATCCGGAAGGGGGAGGGACGCTTCTCTTGCTCTCTGTCTTCACCTCCACTGAGGAGATTAAAGATATTAGTGCTGGTCCCGATGCACCCTCCAGGCCCACTGTGAAACAAGGCTGGGAGAAATTTTTTACTGGTAATTTCCAACAGAGACATACCCACATTTAAAATGTTTAAACATGTTTGTTTTCAAAAGAAAGAATATGTTAGCTTAAGTTTTTGATATTATTTAACAAGGAAGAGGTTGTGTAAAGAGCTGGTTTAGGTTACTGAGTGTAAAAACAGAACTAGTGTTTCCACGACTTTTCTCCTGACCCCCATGCACTGAATTCCCAGTTTGACTTTTCCCCTTCTGCTGTGAAGAGAGACAGGCATAGCTGTCTCATCTGTCTCATGTCACACATCTACATCAGCTGTCACAAGAGAGAAAACAGGGTCCCCTGCAATCAAGCCCAGGAGCCAATTCTATTATCCCTTTCTATACTCTCTAAAAACCAATTCCGTCTCCAGCTTCAGTGATGCCCTCATCACTGACCCTCACATGTGGTCAGGCGCTCCGTCCATACAGGCATCTGGCTGAGAAGGAAAGAAAAAGCTGAGGCTAAAACCGAGCTCAGCAAGCCCTGCTCTGGCCCAGAGGGCATGCCCTTTCCACTCCTCACCAAGAACCTTGGTAGGGGGCTCTGATTGATGACTCAAAGATCGTCACCCTGTGTTATCACTGCAGCTGCCCAGCAGATGCTTCTGCTGGGAGGTGCCACTTTACCTAAAATCAGAAAACCCAAGACCGAACTCACACTCACCCACCTTTACCAATCACACATCTAGTCTCTCGCCAGCACATAAAGGTGTGACCACCAATCCTAAGGGAGTCTTTACTGTCAGAGATTCTCCAGTTCATTCTCACTCCACCTCATTCTTTTTTTTTAAAAAACAGTCTCACTCTGTTGCCCAGGCTGGAGTGCAACAGCACAATCTTGGCTCTGCAACCTCTGCCTCCCGGGTTCAAGCGGATTCTTCTGCCTCAGCCTCCCAAGTAGCTGGGATTAAAGGTATGTGCCACCACACTTGGGGTTTCACCATGTCAGCCACGCTGGTCTCAAACTCCTGACCTCAGGTGATCTGCCTACCTTGGCCTCCCAAAGTGCTGGGATTACAGGAGTGAGCCACTGTGCCTGGCCAAAACAAAATATTAATGTAGTGTTTTATATTCACACATTATTTGACCTTCCTTCTCTGTCTTAAAAAAAAAGGTGGGGGGAAACTGAAATGAATGTTTCCTACCTCTGTTCACTGAAAATTCCTAGAAGCAATGACAAACCTGCAGCAATAACCATCCCTATTACATAGATTTGGCCTCCAAATATGAATGCCATTTCCCACATGGAACCAGGGATCCTTAGAGAAATGACTGACTCCAAGCCTGGGTTAAGAAATGTCTAAAGGGCCGGGTGCGGTGGCTCAAGCCTGTAATCCCAGCACTTTGGGAGGCCGAGGCGGGTGGATCACGAGGTCAACAGATCGAGACCATCCTGGTCAACATGGTGAAACCCCGTCTCTACTAAAAATTACAAAAAATTAGCTGGGCACGGTGGTGCGTGCCTGTAATCCCAGCTACTCAGGAGGCTGAGGCAGGAGAATTGCCTGAACCCAGGGGGCGGAGGTTGCGGTGAGCCGAGATTGCGCCATTGCACTCCAGCCTGGGTAACAAGAGCGAAACTCCGTCTCAAAAAAAAAAAAAAAAAAAAGAAATGTCTAAAACGGGTCTGGGGTGTCTCTTGCTTAAAACAATGGAAGCTGTCAAATACCACAGGGCACTCTCACAAAGGTACAAGGGCAAACCCAAAGGGATTCCTGCTGGCCAAAGAAGGGACCATTTTGAGCCTGACAAACATTAATGAGAACTTTCTCTCTTAGAATGACATTCTGAAATCCTGATGGAGGAAATCAGATGAGATCTGAGCTGCGCTACCCGGTAACTTGAGAAGAGGGAGTAAAGGAACTGCTGCTGGCAGAGATGAGGCCAGAGTGGCCACGGATTCAAGTTATTAAAAAGCTGGGTGATGAGACCATATTGGTTCATTAGACTATCTTCTTTCGTGTTATGTTTGAAAATTCTCAAAGTAAAAAGTTTTAAAAATAAGTGATAAACTTAAATAAAACATTTCATGCAGAAGTCACAGCTCCCTGTGGCATGGTCCCTGCTTCCCCATCTTCTTCCATCCTCGCTCCTTCCTCCGCTCCAGCCATAGCAGCTCCGTGCCATTCCTCCCACAGGCCAGGCATGCCCCACCCCAGAGCCTCTGGACCTGCTGCTCCCTCTGCCTGGAACACACTTGCTCAGACATTTGCCACCCTCAGATACTGGTGTGGCTCACCCCCTGCCCTCCTTCTGGCTGCTGTTTCCAATTAGGCTTCGTGAGCTCCTGGATAACCCTGAATACAACAGCAATCTCCCACTTCCCAGAACTCCTGCTTTTTGCTTTACTGTCTACACATAACTTATCACCAGCCAACACATAGGCATCTGAATATGTGTTTATTATTGGTCTCCTCCTTCCTGAATTTAAGGTATATAAGGCAAGAACTCTGCTTGGATCCTGGCAGTGGCAAAGTGTCTGGCTCAAAGAAAGCACCCCAAAATATTTATTAACATCAGAAACACATATAGTACTTACTAGGAGGCAGGCGCTGTTCTAAGATCTTCATACAACTTACTTGCAAATGAACACAGCCCCTCCCACTGCCGCGCCCTTCCTCAGGCTGTCCCTCCCAAGCATCAAGATCTTATGAGCTCAAGTCCCCAAATTCCATGGAATCTTGGAATATCAGACTATTTCATGGGGTTTTTTTCTTCTCTCTAAACATCTAGAGCATTTAGTAACTTCAATATTAAAACTGGCAATCACAACATCATCTTAAAATATTATGAAAGTCATGTACATAACAAAATATATATATATAATATAATGTATAGAACGTAAGGAACACCAATAATATATTGCAGCAAATTTAGAAGATAAAAAATTCAGTAGTAAATCCTACCAGCAATTAACTACTGTTAACATTTTCATCTATTTCCTTCTGGTTCACTGTCTCTAGATCTTTTAAATCTTTCTCACAAATATAAATCTCTTGCTTTCTTTAAAGCTACTAAAAGTTTCAAAAATTAATTTTAAATGTGACTGAAAAACAAAACACAAACACAAAAAACCCAAAACAATGGTGATGTTAAACTGTCCTTCACATCTAGTGACTCTTATATGCTCCTAGAGTTAAGAATTATTTTTCTGGACCTTTTTCCTATTGCATTATTATCTAGTTTTCTCATGAATATATTTCTTCTCAATCAAAATACAAACTCATGAATATATTTCTTCTCAACCGAAATACAAAATAAAACTTTGTGGTAAGAACCAAGTTTTATTTTTTGTATCTCGCAACAGAAGTGAGCTGAATATACAAGAATCAAAATAAGTGCAAAATAAAATCAGAGCATAATCCACTATTTTTGGCTTCTGCGAGCCACTGTACTTACCGGATCCTGCAGAAAAAGGGTTTCACCGGAGCACATTCATATCGTGGAGCTGCTAGAAAGACAGACAGACAGACAGACAGACAGAAAGAAAGATGCCTGGTCAATCACTCCCTCTGAGGCAGGTCTTTCTCAGTGAAACAATGTTTCACCATTACCAAACAACAAATTATTTTTTTAAAAAGAGAGAGAGGTCCCATTGATTAAAGTACTATTTGGAAATACTAGAATATGACTGGATCTCAAAATGCAGGAAGACAGTTCTATTTTAAACAAGGGGATCTCCCTCTCTTTAATAACAAAAACAGTACTAGTATTTCCCAATTTGTCTTTAATACCAAAGACATACTAGTGCTTCCCAACACTGAAAACCATGAGCCTCAGGTTTAACAGTGAGAATCAGATTTATATCATTCCCTCATTAATTCCCATAGTTCCCAAAATGCCCACGTTCATTATGTCAAAGGTCAATGTCATTATATTTAGAGACAATAATTCTGGTGGTAATATTCCATTCCATTGTAATAGTCGACATTTCTAAAAAACTGGGGGTTTGGACTGTTTTCAATTTTTAGCTATATGACACATAATTTTCTTTTCTTCTTTAAGTTCTTTCCTTGGATAAATTTCAGAAAGTTGTGTTCCTAGGTTAAATCAATTTATGACTTTCATTGTGTACTGATAAACTAACCTCCAGAAAACTGTACTAATTTTCGGTTTTATTATTTTCTCACAACCCTCATGCCAATGACTTGCTATCAATTCTGTTAATTTTTGTATCAATTTTATTGATTTATGAGGTAGTAATTCAGAAATGTCTAAATTTGTCTATCTTAGCGGCAGATGAGGGGGCTGAAATTTCTGCCCAGTGTTTGTGAAGTATATGTGTTTCCCGAGTTTCCTGAATATCTTTTGGGAATTTGTTCACTGAAACAAATAGTCTCTAGTTATAGGAACCATGGAAAACTGTGAGATGTTTAAAAAATATACACTGAAGCTTGCATAAACAGTGAGAATCCAAAAGAACCAAAATACTGAATAAGAAGCCCAGGTCTTGATACTTCTAAGGAGATGATCACAGGAGGAATCAGAAAGCATTAATAAAGCATTGAAGATTGGTATAATCTACAGAAAACAGCCTTTACTGTGAGGTCAGTTTGCTTACACCACTTATTCAACATACCAGGCACCTGAACTCCAACTGCAGTCACTAGAAGTCCTGGACTACTGAAAGCCAGACTATGTGAGCTAAGACAACAGACATGAGCCCATGATGCATCTTCATTCCTAGGCTGTAAATATGTGATGCTTGTTTCTAAAAGCGTACCCTGAAGTAGTAATGGTCAAACCCTTCTAAGAGGCTTGTACAAGACATGTTAAACAAAAACATTTTCTAATACAGGACCAGAGGCTGACAAGAGCTGAGTGGATAGCTTCCTAAGTCCTCTTAATGTTCTATGTGCTCAAAGTAAGGGATCGGAGGAGGTAACAAAGGCACAGCCTAGAGAGGGGGCAGAGTTAACCAAATGCTCTCAAGAAGGGTTTCAATTCTTGAGATTTACAAGGCAAAAGTACAATACAAAGAGTAAACTAGATTCATATCAGGCCTTTATGGTCTAAGTGAATTTTGAGATCCAAAAGAATAATTTCAGGGCATATTAAGATTTTACATAAAAGATGATATGGTTTGGCTATATCCCTACCCAAATCTCATCTTGAATTGTAGTTTCCATACTGCCCACATGTCAAGGGAGGGACCTAGTGGGAGGTAACTGAATCATGGGGGTGGCTGCCCTCATCCTGTTCTGGTGATAGGGAGTTCTCATGAGATCTGATGGCTTTATAAGGATCTCTTCCCCCTTTTGCTCGGCACTTCTCCAGCTGCTACATATTTGCTTCCCATTTTGCTAGTTTTTTAAGTTTCTTGAGGCCTCCCCAGCCATGCTTAACTGTGAGTTAATTAAACCTCTTTCCTTGATAAACTACCCAGTCTTGGGTATGTCTTTATTAGCAGCATGAGAATGGACTAATACAATAAACTTGCACTGCAAAGAGTGGGGTGCTGCTATAAGGATACCCAAAAATGTAGAAGTGACTTTGGAACTGGGTAATAGGTAGAGGCTGGAACAGTTTGGAGGGCTCAGAAGTAAATAGGAAAATGTGGGAAAAGCTTGAACTTCCTAGAGACTTATTGAATGGCTTTGACCAAAATGCTGATAGAGATATGGACAATAACATCCAGTCTGTGGGGGTCTTAGATGGAGATGAGGAACTTGTTGGGACTGGAGTGGAGGTGACTTTTGCTATGCAAAGAGACTGGCAGCAGTCTGCCCCTGCCCTAGAGATCTGTGGAACTTTGAACTTGAGAGAGATGATTTAGGGTATCTGGCGCAAGAAATTTCTAAACAGCAAAGCATTCAAGAGGAAGCAGAGAATAAGAATTTGGAAAAATTGTAGCCTGAAGAGGTGACAGAAAAGAAAAACCCATTTTCTGGGGAGAAATTCATGCCTGCTGCAGAAATTTATATAAGTAACAAGAAGCCAAATGTTAATCACCAAGACAATGGGGAAAATGTCTCCTGGGCATGTCAGAGACTTCACAGCAGCCCCTCCATAACAGGCTGAGGCCTAGGAGGAAAGAAGGGTTTTTGGGGCCTGGTTCAGGGCCCCACTGCTCTGTACAGCCTTGGGACATGGTCCCCTGCATTCCAGCTGCTTCAGCTCCAACCATGGCTAAAATGGGCCAAGGTACAGCTCAGGCCATAGCTTCAGAGGATGCAAGCCCTATTCCTTGGCAGCTTCCACATGGTGTTGGTCCTGCAGGTATGCAGAAAACCAGAATTCAGGTTTGGAAACCTCTGCTTAGATTTCAGAGGATATAAGGAAATCCTGAATGTCCAGGCAGAAGTTTGCTATAGGGGCGGAGCCCTCATAGAGTGCCACTGCTTGGGCACATGTGTAATAGAAATCTAGGGTTGTAGCCCCCACACAGTCTCCACTGGGGTAGTGCCTAGTGAAGCTATGAGAAGAGGGCCATCATTCTCCAGATCCCACAATGGTAGATCCACTGATAGCTTGCACTGTGAGCCTGGAAAAGCCAGACAACACCAGCCCATGGAACCAGCCATAATGGGGGGCTGTACCCTGCAAAGCCACAGGGGCAGAACTGCCAAGGCTGTGGGAGTCCTCTACTTGTACCAGCTTTACCTAGATATGAGACATGGAATCAAAGATTATTCTGGAGCCTTAGATTTAATTATTGCCTCAGTGGGCCTTTAGCCCCTTTGTTTTGGCCAATTTCTCCCATTTGGAATGGGTTTTATTAATGCCTGTACCTCCACTGTATCTAAGAAGTAATTAATTTGCTTTGGATTTTACAGGTTTATAGGTGAAAGGGACTTGCCTCGTCACAGATTAGACTGGATTTGGACTTTTGGCCTAATGTTGGAATGAGCTAAGACCCTGGGGGACTGTTGGAAAGGAATGGTCCTATTTTGAAATGTGAGGACATGAGATTTGAGAGGGGCCAGGAGTAGAATGATATGGTTTGGCTGTGTCCCCACCCAAATCTCATCTTCAATTGTAGCTCCCATAATCCCCATGTATGGTAGGAGGAACCTGGTAGGAACTAACTGAATCATGGAGGCAGCTTCCTCCATACTATTTTCATGATAGTAAATTCTCATGAGATCTGATGGTTTTATAAGGGACTTCCCCCTTCACTTGGCTCCTATTCTTCTCCTTCCTGATGTGGAAGGACATGTTTGCTTTCCCTTCTGTCATGACTGTAAATCTCCTGAGGCCTTCCCAGCCATGTGGAACTGTGAATCAATTAAACTTCTTTCCTTTATGAATTACCCAGTCTCAGGTAGTTCTTTATAGCAGTGTGAGAACAGATTAAGACAGAAGGGAAATATCCCAGCAATAAGTAATTAGCAAAATGAAAAGGCTGAAAAGACACAGTCAGTGCTAATGGAAAAATACCTGGGGAAAAAATGCGAAAGACCTGGCAGACAATATTGTGGATGTCCTGTTCACAGCTGTATCCCAGCATATGTCTTTAGAAATGGGGAAGAGAAATAAAATCAATATTTTTGAAAGATGGGAACAGGAGAGATGAGGAGCTAGAAGCAAGCAGGGATAACATGCATGTTTTCTAAAGGTTACATAAAAATATTTTTAAAAGATGGGGCAATTATAATTGGAAGAAGCAGCATGCAAAGCTATTCTTCATTAGATTAAGTACTGGGTAAAAAATTAGAAACAGTATATACAGAGAGTTTCATACATCAAGATGAAGAAGTTTTGGAGATCTGTTTAAAAACATTGTAACCATCCTTCACAGCAATGGAGTGAAGTAAAAATGATTAAGATGGTGTATTAGATCCCTTTCCATGCTGCTGATAAAGACATACCCCAGACTGAGCAATTTATAAAAGAAAGAGGTTTAATGGACTCACAGTTCCATGTGGCTGGGGAGGCCTCACAATCACGGCAGAAGGCAAGGAGGGGCTAGTCACATCTTACATGGATGGCAGTAGGCAAAGAGAGAGAGCTTGCGCAGGGAAACTCTCATTTTTAAATTCATCAGATCTTGTGAGACTTATCCACTGTCACGAGAACAGCATGGGAAAGACTTGCTCCCATGATTCAATTACCTCCCACAGGGTTCCTCCCATGACACATGGGAATTGTAGGAGTTACAATTCAATATGAGATTTGGGTGGGGACATAGTCAAACCCTATCAGATGGTAAACTGTATGTGTTTTTTAACCACAATCAATTTTTTTTTTAGTTAGAGAGAAGGGCTTGGAATTAAAGAGAAGGCAGATACACATATATCTTTAGGAGACAATTTACAAAGAATATAAAATAATAAAGCATGACTAAAAAGAAATAAATTAAGATCACATAGGACTGAATGTCACAAACTGCAGTAGGCATCTTTGATTTAGGAAAAAAAAGCATCCCAGAAGGAAAACAAAGTAATGAGACTCATGAACTTTTAGGGGCAAGAAAAACTGGAAAAGAGCTACTGATCCTAACTTTTTTTTTTTTAAACAGTTTCACTCTTGTTGCCCAGGCTGGAGTGCGATGGTATGATCTTGGCTCAATACAACCTCCCCCACTCCCAGGTTCAAGCAATTCTTATGCCTCAGCTTCCCAAGTAGCTGGGATTATGGGCATGTGCTACCATGCCCAGCAAATTTTTGTACTTTTTGGTAGAGATGGGTTTCACCATGTTGGCCAGGCTGATCTGGAATTCCTGACCTCAGGTGATCCTCCTGCCTAGGCCTCCCAAAGTGCTAGGATTATAGGCATGAGCCACCATGCCCAGCCAAATGATCCAAATTTTATCTCCAAAGTAAAATCTCTCATAAAAGGAAATCATAAAGAAATACAGGAGGAAAGACATTTAATTTTAACTTAAAGGAAACAGAGCCTTCATAGCAACTAAAGCACTATACGGTATGCTGGTAGTGAAACAGTTATGACATATAATCTGTGAAACAGACATGACAAAATGGAAACAAATGTATTTTCTTTATCAGAAGCTTTTAAAATGCTGTTTTCATCACATGAAGACTTTCTGCAACAAGAATAAGAAAAAAGTCTTCATGCTCTAAATAATGCGTTAGTTTCTGTACTATTCCTGTTAAGAATGAAACTGATCTTGATGAGGCAAGATAAACATCTGAACATTGGTCCTGTTACCTCTTTGGGTCCAGTTGTTCCAGAAGGGAAGCTGAGCTCTGGCAGTGTATGCATAGAACACCCTCACGTCTTGAGGGGCAAGCAGGTCAACAAAGTGAGAAGATGCCAGGACATCTTTCTTACGATTCAGGATCAAAGCAGCCTGTTCAGAAATGTGCACTAACCTTCCAGACAGAAATGAAAATACTGCCACAAAGGTATCCTACGAAAAACATTTAAAATAAATGCAAATATTGAGATACGCACTAGCAATAGTCTCTGAAAGGTAAATTTCTTCTAGATCTCTACCATGATCAATATCTTAAACTATACAGGTACAACCTATGAAGGCAACAAAACTCAAATACTTTTCTCCAACATCCTTCTTAAATATTCTCATAAAATCTACACTTCACCTACTGAAGGTTTGATTTCTATGCCAAAAAATACACTAACTCATTCTATGCAGACTAAACATACGTATGGCACATAAACTTGATTCCTTCTCCTTTGTGCCTTATACCTGGGTGGATGGTGTTCTCGTCATCAGCATAGATTCTATGCTTTAAGACATGCTGAAGATTCACCTTCCTCAGGAAGCTGTCCTTGACAAACCTCATTACGTAAGCATCACTGCTCTAATTTCTTCCATTAGACGTAAATGAAACTTACTTATAATCAGCCATTGTTTGTGTTTGCTACCACTGGCATGCTTTCTTCCTCTGTAGCTTTATTCTAAAGACCTTAAAAGACAAATATTTTCCTAAGCTGTTTTTTAAAATCTCCATAGTACCTACTACAGTACTATGCCCACACCAGTCCTTAAAATAAGCACTGTTATGATAGTAGCGATGGCTCATGTTTCACTGTTACAAAATCTTTAAGTTACAATTATGTTGAAGTCTGTACATAAAAATAAGTAATCTCCACTGTATCAACCAAACATGAGGCTCAATTACTCTGTCAAACAAGAAGAGATTAAAAAAAAAATATATATATATATATACTAAAGGTCTCTTCCAAAATGTTATAAAAAATGACAGCATCTCAACTCACCTGTTCTATAACATCCAGTTGTTACAACTTGAAGTAGTAGGTATTGGAACTAAGAATGATATAAATAGAAATTAACAATTCGGAGATTAGAATAAGATGCAGGAAATTACTCTGCAATGTGTTTTTTTGTTTTTCTCTTAATTCAAGAGAGCTTGGGAATGCTAAGGAGCTAGAAGCACCTCATAACCAAAGTCACTGAACTGCACAGCACACTTAATGGGCTGCTTCTGTTTTTAGATGTTTTCTCTGGCAAGGGTGGAGAAGCTACACCATGCCTCTTTAGCAGTTCCTCCTTTGCTTCCCTCAAATTGTGGTTGCTGAAACGTTGTTATTCTCCTCAAAAACTTACACCTAGAGCAGGTCCTTAGGAAAAATCACCCAGGTTGATATGGCAAAATGCATGAATTCTTACTGTGTTTTTGGAAGTGTGTTCTGAAGCAATAGTGGCCAGCTCCTCAAGACTGTACATGGTCACATCTGCCTGAGGTGCTCCATTTTGACTGAGAATCTGGAAAAACTCACTGTTTGCTAAGAAACACAGGGAGATAAACAGGTAGTCCAGTGACAACAGTATCTTTAGGAAACCATTTTATCTCTATCAAACTGGATTATTTTTTCCGGATGAGAACACCTTGGTGCATTTTTCTCGAAAACAGATCATTTTCTGCTTTTACTTAAAATACATACTGATGGTTGTGCAAACTTAAGATTTTGATTTTATGAATTCTGCATGTTCTGGATCACAAGGAGCAAGACACATTCAAGGTACTAACTAAAAATTGCAGATGCATACGCAATTTTTTTGGGGGGAGCAGAAACAGTACTCCATCATTCAGGATCATATATATGAAGCACCGAGGTTTGTGCTAAAGAGAATATGGCTTTAATGGAATCCCTTGGCAGAAAAAGAAAAGTCTTTACAATGGGTTCATTTTTAGTTTGATAAATTCCTCATATATCATTACTGCATTTTAAAAATATGTGTATGGTATGTAAAGGTAACTATTTAGTAGAATGCATTTTTTCCCCCATAACTTCCATAGAAGACAATGTTCCTTTAAAAGGTTAGCCTTCAGAATGTGCTTATGCTAAAACTCTTCTCTCTTGCAACAGATCAGCAAAACGCTGCAAAGTTACTATAAACTATTATACAGATAAAGTTTTCCTGGTCTTTCAGATGTGAAAAATCAAGACATGAATGCAATCAGTGTAGATTTGCTCATCTTCCATAAAGCACCAGAAGAAGTTCAAAGTATCTGCATGACTAATACCCCACTGACCACTCCTCTGGCTGCTGTGAGAGTCCTGGTGTACTTGTAGGACTGAATTTCTCTCGCTTGTTTACCTTGCACGCTGTGGACACAGTGGAGGGCATAGTTGAGGGCATCTAGAGTGCTTGGTTTATTGCGTCTCTCCGAGGGGAAGTATTTTTTCATTTCTTGGACAATCATGGTAAGTTCTTCCAAAACTCTGCTTCGATCTTGCTGTTCACTGGAAGATTAAAAAAAAAATGGACAATTTCACAGTTGTGAAGATGATAACAGCATCTTGCAGTTTACGGAACACAAACTGCAACCCAGGTAAGTTTCTAAGTGCTCTACCCGCACCAGTTCATTCAGTCCACAGGGTAATGCCCCTTTTCCTCCAGGTAGAGAACTCAGGCAAAGCAACTGGTAAACGCCACACACTCTCCACTTACTTTCCCTTAATCCACCTGAGCCCAACTCAGCTAAGTTCTGTAACCACTTTTCCCTCCTGGTGCTCTTTGGTAATTTTCCTCAGTGTCCCAGATCACTTCATCCTGCGTTGCCTGAGTCTCCCCTTACACTTTCCCCTGGACTTAAAAGAATAAAAAGATTTACGTCCCCCTTTCCCTGCTCTGGGAAAAGACAACAAACGCATGCGGCCCTGGGCCTGAAGCCAGCGCGTCACCTGTGGCTGGGGTCCGCCAATTTTCTCTGCAGATGGAACTCGGGGCTCCACCACTCCCCAGAGTCTTCGCCCAGGGCCTCGTCCTCAGCTACCCGTCCCCCAGGGCCAGGAGGTTCCCCGAGGGGCGTCTCGAGGTCTCCGCAGGGCTCCATGTCCTGCTGGGACGGCCCGCTGCCTGCTTCTCGCTCACTTTGCAGTCAGCTACAGACAGCTTTTTCTCACTGTAGTCCGCGCCATGGCGTTAGAGAAACCGGGCGGCTACCACGAGCAAGGGGGCCACGCTCATCTCTGAGGAGTTTTTCCCTCCAGCATCTCCAAAACCCGGAGCTCGCTCCACTTTCGGAAGTCCGGCCTGGGGGGAGGAAACAGGGGTGACAAGGGCCAAGCGGAACTGATGGTCCGACGCCAGAGGCCCGGCTGGCTGCGGGGCCCGACCGCGCGATCCTCACCCCTGCCCCAACTTTCCCGCGAGCCGAGAGGCGGGCCCGGAGAGGCGGGCGACTCGGAAGCGCAACGCTCCGGGGACCCCAGAGCCGAGGGCCGGGCTCTTGGGGCTCCTGGGCCGCGCTCGGGTCCCGAGAACTCTGGCCCGACCGCGAACTCACCGGCTTCGCCTGCCCGCGGCCTCGCGCGCAAGCTGCTCGACCCCCAGGCCGCCCGCGCTTGCAGTCTCGAGGCCGGCCGCGTGCCGGGAAGCAGCCGGCGCCGCGCCCCCCGCCGCCGCGTGACCGGCTCCGCCTCCGAGCCGCGCGATTGGCTGTCGTGGCCAGTTCCGCCGGCCTCCATTGGCCCTGGGGCGGGGCGCGACCCGGTGCGGACGGGTTATATAAGCCAGGGCGAGGGGGCGGGGTCCCCTGGGGCGCGTTACATAACGCTCGGGGTCGGACGGAGGCGGCGCTCGGCCAATCCGGCAGGCGGTACGCTGGCAGGGGGCGGGGTGGCCCTGAGCAGCCTCAGGCCTGGGCCATGCGACTGGCGTGTCCGGCCCCCATGCCACGCCGCCGGGGCGGAGCCGCTGAAGCCAGGGCAGAAATGATAGGGTCAGGGAGCTGCCAGCCACGCGGGGGCGGGACCTGGGGGGGGGTGTCTGTGGGGCAGGTCAGGCCCGGCCCAACCTCCACGTGAGAGGCGGGCGGGGAAGGGAGGGAAGCGAAAGGCGGGGGCGCGAGGGTGCGGGGAGTGAGAGGCTGGGGATGCGGGCTTGAGTTGGGGTCCTGGGGAGGCTGGAGTTGGGGGACTGATGGGGCGAGAGGCGGGGGCAGAAGGGGGACAGGGGTGATAGGAGTAGGTGGCCGAGAGGCATGCGGGGCGAGAGGCAGGGGAGGGAGGTCTGGAAGGGGAGAGGGATGAGGGCGAGAGGCTGGGGCGGTGGTGTCGAAGACGGGGCCAGAAGGGGGCGAGAGAGAGGCGGGGACTGGGGGCGTGTCGGGGCGGGCCGGGGCGGCCCGAGCCAGCTCTCTGGGGCGGTTCCTGGCGTCCGCAGGTGGCTCCCGGCTGCCCGAGCGGGGGTGGGGAGGAGCTCTGTGTGGGGCCGGCTGCAGGCAGCGTACCTTTCAACGTGCTTTGGGTGTCTTCTTGGCTTTGCATGGGTTTCACCGCCTCTGACCTACCGAACCCACCCCAACCGCCCTCATTCTCCGCTAACTCTTTAGGTGAGTGAGGTGGACTTGAAGGAACCCGGCCGTATAGCAGTGCTGGCAAAAAGCCCATCCGATATTTAGAAAGTTTTTTTTTTTTTTTTGGAGACAGGGTCTTGCTCTGTCGCCCAGGGTGGAGTGCAGTGGCGCCCGCCATCTCGGCTCACTGCAACCTGTTTTCTGGGCTCCAGGCATTCTCCTGCTTCAGCCTCCCAGGTAGCTGAACTGCAGGCGCAGCCACCACATCTGGCTAATTGTTATGTCTTTGGTAAAGATGGTCTATGTTGGCCAGGCTGGTCTCAAACTCCTGAGCTCCAGTGATCTGCTGGCCTCAGTCCCTCGAAGTGTTGGGATCGATTACTGGTGCGAGCCACTGTATCTTTTGGCGGTGAAACTTAAAACACTTCCCCGGACTTCCTAAAATTACAGATTCATTTGGCAACTACAGGAAGACAAATGTAAAAGGCAGTGTTTCAGAGGAGGAAGCTGTAATGCCCTTAAAAAAGAAAGTCTGAAATCTCAGTTTAGATTGTCTGTCTCAACACCTTAGAAATGAAAGGTATAGGCCGGGCGCGGTGGCTCACGCCTGTAATCCCAGCACTCTGGGAGTCCGAGGCGGGTGGATCACGAGGTCAAGAGATCGAGACCATCCTGGTCAACATGGTGAAACTCTGTCTCTACTAAAAATACAAAAAATTGGGCATGGTGGCGCGTGCCTGTAATCCCAGCTACTTAAGAGGCTGAGGCAGGAGAATTGCCTGAACCCAGGAGGCGGAGGTTGCGGTGAGCCAAGATCGCGCCATTGCACTCCAGCCTGGGTAACAAGAGCGAAACTCTGACTCAATTAAAAAAAAAAAAAAAAGAAATGAAAGGTATAGTGCTTAGTGGCGCCCCTCTCTCTGCTGCCTGGAACAGAAAAAATATTCAATATTTGTTGGATGAATGAAATTGTATGTGGAGGAAGAGGGGAAAAGTGAGTGGGCGAATGTTTATGTTAGGTACTGAATAAACCACCTTATTCTTACAAGCGATAGTCTAGGTTGGCTTGCTGTCCTCAGAGGCTGAATTTTGTCAAACTGCATTCCTTCAGCAAGTATTTATTGCGTGCAGATCTGGGTAGTGACACTTGGAATCCCAGGGGCTAGAACAGTGGACCAAAGTCCCTGCCACCTAGGGAGTCAACGTTTTATTGAGAAACACATACAAGAAACCCCGTAAATAAGTTCATAAAGCCTAAAGCGATGTGTAGAAAACAAGCTACTGGGATGAAGAGTAACTGGGACAGAGGTGGAGAAGGAAGGAGGCCAGAGCCTCCTTAGATCAGCCGGGAAGGCCTCTGGGAAGGCGGAGTTAAACCCGAGATGAGCAGCACCTGCCACGATGGGTGGGGAAGTGGGCCCTGCAGAGTGGAAAGTACCTGCAAAGGACCTTTGGAAAGAAGTAAGTTTGCTGTTGAGAAACTGAAACAAACTTTATTCAGGTCTGTTTCTCCTTCAGTGCTTCCTTGCCTGTTTTCATTTATAGCTTAACTCTGGCCTGCAAGCCACACCCTGACATTGAAAGTCCCATGCACACAGCTCTCCACTGCCAACAGCTATACTTTGACAGAGTGTAGGGTCCAGCCCTCTCTACTGGAAATAAAGACACTGAGTTCAAGAGAAAGAGAGTTTGGGCCCAGGGGTCCACTGCCAACCAAAGCGCAGAGTCCTGGACGCGCTTTTATTGAGTATAAAGCAGGGGGCAGGGTAGGTAGGGCAAGTCATTGGTGGTCAGTGATAGGGTCAAGTAAATCACATGTCTTAGAGACAGGAGCCCAGGACTTTCAAGTAGCCCAGGCAAGGGAAGAAGCAAGGGCAAGGGAAAAATGTGCCAGCACTTTTTCCATACTTGTCAAGAAGGAACACAGACATTAAGATTTATGTTACTTTTCCTGATCCTATCTCCTAAAAAAGGAACCAGGTAGAGGAAGCAGAACATGAAAGTAGACATGGAACATGACTGCCGAAGCACAGCATCACAGAGAGAAAATAATTAAGCCCCTGGATGTCAGCATGTGTTCCTGATAGCCGTCAGGCCTGCCACAGGCGCCTGTGGGAGCGAAGTTTACTCTTAACTCCTCCAAGGAAGGAGACATCTCAGACATCTCCTTCCGTACCTTGCTAATCAGCGGGCGCTTTCCCAGCGCTGGTGCTGCAGCATAGCCAAGGCACCCTCCGGCAGCCCTTAGGCGTGACAGAGAGCATCTTGCCTTAGGGTGACTTCTTTCACAATGTCACCTTAGGTTCGCACTTTGCAAAAAGAGAAACATTAGCAAAATTAAAAGGTCATACTTGGTATATATATCTAGGTATCTATAATATATGATTGCTTATGAATGACTGTGTGATTATATTTCTAATTCTTTTCTATTTCATTATTTATATGGGAACAGGCTGAGGCTTCAGATCCTTGTCTCAGCACTTGCAGGGTCTCCCATCCGAAGAAGAGTACCTTACTTGGAGGAGAGAGAGCTGGAGAGTCGTATGGGATGAGGTCAGAAAGCTGAAGGGCCAGATCATAGTAGGACTTGTAATTAGGGAAAGGGACTTGGACTTTTCTATTGTAAACATAAGCAAAAGTCTACTTCCACCCATATGATAATGTTTCCAGGGGGTTGTAGAATAAGAATGGAAATACATTCATGGGGAAAGAAGAATCTACAGAATGAAAACATGTGTCTGGGGATGTCCCTTGCCCGTCCAGACTTCTCTCTTCCATGGCCGTGTCAGCAGCCATCCAGTCTACCAAATCCAGGGCTAGCTCTGCACATCACTTTTGAAAGACCAACTCCAAAGCCAAATCCTGTATTTTGGTAATTGTATAAAAGCCAGTTTTCCCCACATCTCCTATACTAGAAAGCACTTTTCACGAGGGGACTGGTTTGCTTCTCTTCACTCGGGCATGGGGAAATACTGGGTACTAGAGGGTAGCGTACCTATAGAGGGGCTGGTGGGAAAGGAGGAGAGACAGTTTCAGAGTTTGTAAGGGACAGGTATAGGGAGCAGCAAAGAATGCCATTTTTAGGATCTGGACCAGGCGCAGCTATTCCTCTATAAGGAACACAGGTCCCACAACCATGTTTATAAACACTTTATTCAGGTCATTACAGTGGGTAAGTTCCCAGCTAAGTGCACAGATACAAGCGAGGTATTTCTGGGTTAATGAAGGAGCCAATGGGTTACATGGGACTGAGCACTGTAGCCAAGGAGTGAGCACCAAGGTTTCAGAGTCAGACCGGGCTAGAGACCCTGTGCTTGGGGGGTGGGGGCCTATGTCCTAACACAAACAGCTGCTTTCTCCTCACAGCTGGCCATACTGCAAGGCGGTCTTCAACAACAAACCACTCAATGATGTTAAGGGAACAGACAGTAAAGAAATAAAACCTGTATCCTGGTGGACCTCAGCTATTGCTGCTTTGTAAGTTGTAACAGCATGTGAATAATATTTTAGAATATTCCAGTAAGGAGCCACAGAGCGATCAAGTCTGTGTCCTTCTCTCTCAGTGCCTCTTTGCCTGTTTTCTTTCATACCTGAATTCCATCTTTAAGCTGTGTATCCAGATGTTGAAAGTCTCATGCATACGAGAGAAGTCTCTCCGATGACAAAGTTTCTCTGATGACAAAAGTTCCTTCCACAGCAGCATCCTCTGAGTTATTGATACCAAAGCAAGGTCTCTGGTTGGCTACTCTCTGAAAAGAGCCATCCCACCCCTGACCAATGCCTAATTGCAGGCATCATTTAGAAGACTGACTTAGGAAGCAGAATGTGAATAAAAATAGGAAACTCCAAAAAGCTAGTTTATCATCATATCTGGGCCAGGTAATGATCAAGTTCACAGGTGGTCTTACTTGAAGGCTACAGAATTGTTGGTTGCATAATTATCAGAAACATGTTGGAGTCCACAGCTGATAATCTGTCAACTGATGGGTTAAACTCTTTTGTCTATAGGAATGAGACAGTCAGAGTCTACTTCAAACCTTCTCTAACCCCCATGCAAAATACTGAATCAGAAGGGGAGCCACACTCTCTACAGCATTTCAAAAGGAAGAAAAGCCTGTCACAAGGTTACAATTTTAATTCTGAAGGGGTACCTTGAGTTCCATTTGGCACATTTCTGAATTAAACTGTCAGGAACAGACTTAAGGCCATTTTATCAGTATTTAACTTTTTGGTGAAATAGAAACTTTGGTCATAGCCATAGTTCTATAAAAATTTTTAAAGAGGTTATTTCTGATTAAAACAATATTTTTAGCAAGTGATACATAACAATAACAAGAACGTAAACATCTTCAAATCTAACACAAGAGCAAAAGCTCTTCACCAGCATCTTATCTTAAATACAATGAGAGTCAGTAGTGCTTACAAAAAGTAGAGGGTTTTCTTACAGGGAATCAGAAAATTATCAAAATAAGGCACAGACTGTTGTTATCACAGATTTGTGTTAGGCAGTAGTGTTTTTTTCTGGAAGGCACAAGTTGGAAATCGATTACCCAAAGGTTTAAAATGTGGTTCTAAAAATAACGCTGAATGACAAGGATACGTAACTGGGAGCAATGGCAATTAATCAGTGATGACATTACATCTAGATGATAGCACTCTGGAACTTCAGAAGGCCTCTTCATCAGCCCATATGTAAATCGGGAAAGACACTGTGCAAAATGTGGACGGGGCCGGCCGGCCTTCTAATTTGGAGTGCATATTCTTAAAAAACAAAGGCACGTTTCCTAGAAATTCAATTTTACATTAACACAAAATAATCACTTTAGAGATAGCAGTAGGTAAGCTTGATAATATAGCAGGTTCTAAGTCAAAAGTCTTGAAGAGGTTTCTTGAACAGCAGGTTTGAGTTCCACTGGTTCTTCATGAAGAAACAACCCACACTAAGAGGGAGGAGAGATGCAAAAAAGCAGGGGAAACAGCAGGTTAGTCTCTTAGTGCGAATCCCAAGTGAACATCCAATGCTGCCGTCGATATGTGATCAGAAATTAGACTGTGCTGATTTCCTACTACTGGCTTCTCTCCATTCTATAGAGGGCCAGAGGAAGGAGACTAGAATCAGAAGGATCCAAGTAACTGTACCTTCCTGTTAAAATGAAACATCCACTAACATCTGTGGGTAATACCCCCATGGGCACCGAGGAAGGAGAACTGTCCAGACCCCAGGTACAATTAGTGCCTGAAGAATATCTTAGTTTAGTGTTATTACTCAGCTATTTCTTTATATAATCCTTTATATATAATCATATATTAGTTTATAGATTTAGTGCCTAAAGTATAACTTACTGCTTACATATATCTAGCTTATATAATCATACTTAATACTTATATCTAGCATACTTAGTTCTCTATAATCTTCCTGTATAATCATATAGGTATTGTAGTCGGAGCTGTACTGACACATTTAGTGCTGATTTATAGAATCCTTCTATATAACCATATAGTAGTTTGTAGTAGGAGGAATGCCTAGAGCAGTCACAGAACAGAAGCAGCACATGGGAAAACAGCCAGACCAGGACAAGAACCGAAGACCTAGACAGTGGCGTCCCTGCCTGAAAGGGCATGCACCGTACAGCAGGCTTGGAGCAAGGGGTTGTAGTACCTTGCATCCAGTTCCTGTGGAAAGTAGGCCTCAGGAAATCCTGGAAATAACCAAGGGAGAAAAACCCCTCTGGTGTCACCAGTCATGGCAGCTGTACACCCTGTCAGTCTTTCCTCGCTTCTGTGCTAGCCCAAATCATCCTCCCATAAATATCTTAAGAGCAAAAGTCTATCAGCTCCCACTGCATTGGCTTATAGTATCCTTCTATTAGAAATCCTTTGAAGTCTCCAGCCCCCAGATAAGAAGTGTCGTGCATGACACCTGTTGTACACAGCCCACCTCCTTGCCTCAGTGACCTAATGGGGGGGGACCCCTTTTCTGTACATGACCCTCTACTACTGCACACGGCCCACCACTCTGCCCAAGTGACATAATGGGGTGCCTTCACTTGTGACTCACGTGATTATGTATGCCCTATTACTAAGCCTATAGATGATGACCTCACTCACAACCCTGCCCCCTGCTTGTACCTAATAAATACAGATGCTTCTGAGCATTTGGGGCTCTCGCTCATCTCCGCTCATAGGTTGTGTGGTCCCCCAATTCCAGATGCTCTTCACCAGTTCTTCAGTGTCCTGTAACTTTACTTCTCTGATACTGCACCTCAGCACAACATAAGGGACACCCCACGACCCTGTGGGGCCCTACAGCCCTACAGATATCTACCTATCAATGAAAGAAGTCATGTTTCTCTAAACAGTTCTCATATATTGGGCTGTGAGAACTGCAATGAGTTATTTCAATATTATGTAATAGTTGTATGTGTATACATACATATTTTATTTATATAGTTATTATTTTTATTATTATATGCCAGGCACCAACCTAAGCACTTTTTATGTATTTACCAAATCTGTCCTCTAATAAACAAACAAGGCAGGTACTATTATCCCCATTTTACAAATGGAGAAACTGAAACCTGGAGATGTTAAATTGCTTGTCCACGGCCATACAGCTGGATGGTGGTGGAATCAGGATGGCTCACAGGTAGTCCATGTTTTTAATCACTACATTACATAAAAGGAAATAGATGCTAAAAATATATTCGGAGAAAAGAAGTGGAAATGAATAAATTTTCTCTAACATTAAAGGATTAATGTTTATATCAGAAATCTCAGACTTATATAAAACTCAAGTACTTAAAATGTTTATTAGAGAAAACTGAAAACCTTGGACTAAATGAACCTTTTTGTTTTGTTTTGTTTTGAGAAACTCACTCTGTTAGGCTAGAGTGCAGTGCCATAATCATGGCTCACTGTAGCCTCAAATTCCTGGGCTCAAGCAATCCTCCTGCCTCAGCCTCCTGAGTAGCTGGGACTTACAGGTGTGCACTACCATACCTGGTTAATTATTAACAATAGTTTATAGAGATGCTGTGTTGCCCAGGCTAGTCTTGAACTCCTGGTCTCAAGTGATCCTCCTATCTTGGCCTCCCAAAGCTTTGAGATGACAGGCCTGACTCAACACACCTAGCCAAAACTAACGTTTCAGAGGGAAATAATACATGGAGAAGACTTTCCAATGAGTTTAGAAAAGGGTAACTCACCGATGATGATGACGATGAAGATAACCAGAACAGTAATCCCTATTGCCCACATCTGTAACAAAACATATGTCCACATCACATTTCAAACACAGACATAACGTGCTTGTTGAAGAGTATCATATAATATTTGTCTAGTCACTGAAAGGGAAATTCAGGTGCATACAGTCTGGAATAATTCATAATTTCTAAAGCCTAAATTAAATGTTCTTGATTAGGGCCTGAAGGTGACTTAACTGCTTTTTAAAAAGATGTTCAAATGATCTGTGGCCTCTAGCTAGGCATTTGTTTGTGTATACGAGTTTTCCATGTATGGAAGGGCTGGCTACTCAGCTTGTCCTGTGTCTGAAAGTGTCACCTGTAAACAAGGCAGAGGACAGCACACATCTGAATCTGGTCGCAGCACACTGACTCAGTAACTGTATAAAATCTGCTTTGGCTCACGCTCCTGGGAGGGCTGCTTTCTACTCTTCTGTTGAGCATACTGTGGCTTTCAAGCATTTCTTTTCCTTGACCTTGGAACCATTCACAGAACTACACAAAAACTGACCAATTCCAGCCCTCTCCTATCTGTGTTTGGGGCCCTGCTAGAGTGGAGGATTGGGAAGGGCTGATGACTGTGAGTGATGTTGGATATTCCTGTTCTACGTGCATCTTCTGAAGATCAGCCACAGCACGTAGAGGATCCCTAGTGTGGGGGTAGGAAAGGGTATGCAGTCAGTGTTTCGGATTCCCAGTGGACCCATAGTTCCATGTGTAGGAAGTCAAACCCATCTCCCAGAGTCATGAGAGTCCATTATCTGTAGCCTGTTGATTCTCTGAGAATGGAGAGGGGGACTTAATGTAAAGGTGACTGAAAATAAAATTACCTTGCAATTCTTCCACCAGTATTTTCTCTTCAACTTGGCTGCGCTTGTTTCAAATTGAGAAGCGCCTGCCTGCAGTGCATCTGCACGGTCGTCTAACTCGGAGAGCTTCTGGTCTCTTTCCAGAACCTTGTCCACGTTAACTCGCATTATGTCCACCACCTAGATGAGTGTGATCACAGCAAGTAATGCACAAAGAATGTAGGAACAGGGCCAGGCACAGTGGCTCATACCTGTAATCCTAGCACTTTGGGAGGCCAAGGCAGGTGGAACACCTGTGCAAAGGAATTCGAGACAGGCCTGGCTAACATGGTAAAACCCTGTCTCAGTACTAAAAATAATAAAAATTAGCCAGGCATGGTTGTGGGTGCCTGCAATCCCAGTTACTTAGGAGGCTGAGGCAGGAGAATCACTTGAGCCCAAGAGGCAGAGGTTGCAGTGAGGTGAGATCGCGCCACTGCACTTCAGCCTGGGCAACAGAATGAGACTCTGTCTCAAAAAAAAATGGAGAAACAAAGATTTCAAAGACAATGTACAGGCACATTGTTTCTTCCAGGTCAGCACTTTATTACTTTGAGCCAAGCTTTCACTTTGAAAATAATGGGCCCACTCTTTCATGATAAAAACAATCAGCATATTAAGGATAGAAAGGAATTTCCTTAATATGATAAAGGGCATTTATGGAAAAATCCACAACTAGTATGCTCAGTGATGAAAGACTTCCCTAAGTTCAGGAATGAGACAAGGATGTTCACTTTCATACTGCTACTCAACACTGTGCTAAAAGTTCTGAACAGAGCAATTAGTGAAGAGAAAGAAAGGCATCCAAATTGGAAAAGAAGAATAAACTTATCTGTACTTGCAGATGATTCTCTCTACATAAAAAAATACCAAAGAATCCACAACAAACTGCTAGTGCTAACAAATCCAGCACAGCTGCAGGGTACAACAGAAACACACAGAAATCAGTTGTGTTTCTATACACCAGCAACCAATAATCTGAAAAGGAAATTGAGGAAACAACTGTGTTTACAATAGCATCCAACAGAATAAATACCTAGGAATAAATTTAACCAAAAGGTGAATGACTTGGACAATGAAAACTAGAAAGCATTGCTAAGAGAAATTGCTAAGAGACATCATTAAATGGCTAGACATCCTATGTTCACACACTAGAAGACTTAAAAATATTGCTAAGGGAGCAGTACTCCCCAAAGTCACGTCCCAATTTCAAAACTTACAAAACTACAGTAATCAAAACAGTGTGATACTGGCATAAGGACATATAGACTGATGGAACAGAACCAAGAGTCCAGAAATCAACCCAAGGATCTATGGCACAAGAGTGCCAAGGCCGTCTAACAGGGGAAGAACAGTCTTTTCAATAAACAGTGCTGGGCCGACTGAAGAGCCAACATGCAAAAGAATGAAGCTGAATCCCTACCTCACCCTATATACAAAAAGTAACTCAAAATGGATCAATAATCTAAGTTTAAGAGCTAAACCCATAAAACTCTTAGCATCAGGGTAAATCTTCATTACTTTGGATTTGATTGTGGATTCTTAGATTTGATACCAAAATCAAGAACAACAAAAGGAAAAACAGATACACTGGACTTCATAAAAATTAAAAACTTTTGTGCATCAAAGAACATTATCAGGCTGGGAGCGGAGGCTCACGCCTGTACTCCACGCCTGTACTCCCGGCACTTTGGGAGGCCCAGGCAGGCACATCACCTGAGGTCAGGAGTTCGAGACCAGCCTGACAAACATGGTGAAACACGATCTCCATTAAAAATACAAAAAGTTAGCCGGGCAAGGTGGCAGACACCTGTAATCCCAGTTACTCCAGAGGCTGAGGCAGGAGAATCACTTGAACCTGGGGGTCGGAGGCTGCAGTGAGCTGAGATCACACCACTGCACTTCAGCCTGGACAACAGAGAAAGGCTCCATCTCAAAAAAATTAAAACTAAAAAAAGAACATTATGAAGAATATAAAGACAACCCACAGAATGGGAGAAAGTATTTGCAAATCACGTCTGATAAAGAAAAATTTAATATCCAGAATGCATAGAAAACTCTCCCAACTCAGAAACAGAACGACAAAAACCCAATTAAAAAATGGGCAAAGCTTGAACAGACATTACTTCAAAGACAAACAAATTGCCAATAAGCACATGAAAAGATGCTGAACATCACTAATCATTAGAGAAACGCAAATGAAGACCAAAGAGCTCAGCAGGATGGCTATAATCAAAACAATGGAAAACAAGTGTTGGCAAGGATGTTGAGAAACAGGAACTCTTGGACATCGCTGGGGGGAAAATAAAGTGATGCAGCAATTGTGGAAAAGAATTTGGCAGGTCCTCATAAAACTAACAGAGTTACTAGGACCTAGCAATGCTACTCTTAGGTATATATTAAAGAGAAATGAAAGCATATGTCTAAACAAAATCTTGTCTGTGAATATTCATAACAGCATTATTCATAATAGCTGAAAGGTAGAAACAACTGAAAAGACTCTAACAAATAAATGGATCAACAAATTGTGTATACACACACAACAGAATATTACTCAACCATAAAAAGGAACACAGTACAATACATCACAACTCGAATGAATGAGAAAAATATTATTGTGCTAAGTGAAAGAAGGTAGATGCAAAAGGCCATACATTTTATGATTCCTTTTATATGACATGCCCAGAACAGGCAAATCCACAGAAATAGCAAGCTGATTAGAGGTTACCAGGAAATGGGAGGAAGAGGGAATAGCAAATGATTACTAAATGGGTATGAGGTGTTCTGGGGTGATGGAAAAGTTTTGAAAATAGAAAGAAGCAACGATTGCAAAACATTATGAATATCCTGAATGACACTCAATTATACACTTTAAAATGTTTAGTTGTACCTTATGGGAATTTTGCCTCAATAAAAAAAAAAAAACCTCTCCTTAAAATTCCTTTGGTTAAAAAAAATCCCAATTTGATATTGTAAGTAAACAAAAGCTTCAGGCAGGACAGAATTATAATGGGTTTCTTACTATGAAAATCTAAAATGTTTGGAAGTTCATAAAACCATCAGATCAAGACATTATTATTTAACAACAGTATCTAACGTAACTAACTGTTTTTTTTTTAGGACAGCTAAATGTAGAAAGACAAATAAATTTGTCGGACAGTGACAGCTTTTAGGAATGTGGAAATACTAGTCTGAATTTCTCAATCTTCTGCTGTGATTCTCCACATACAACACAGAACAAAAGATGAAGGTCCTCTAGCTCAAGAATTCTACAAAGAGTGATTTGCTGGGCCAATGGAGTTTGACAGCCTCTATCCTCTGTGTGTCAATGGACAACTGTCAGAGAGGAATTTTACAGAGAGGTTTGCTCAGGCTGGGTAACTATTAAGTCAGACTACAGGACAAAGCATTTTCATAAAAAAATCTCATCAGAAGAACTGGTCTTGGCTTGAGCAATCTAGAGCCCTTATCCTTAACATTTTATTATCCTATTTTATCAAGGGGTTCTTGGGGAATGTACCGAGGGAGTGGTGTTCATGCTTTAGGTATATGATTTTTTATTTTTCCTGAGATAATGTTATGTACAGGTTTGTGATTCTATCACAGGAAATCAAGCATGAAGCCTAGAGTCTGACTTTTGCTTAGATCAGATCTTCCAGCACAGCAGGGAGTAAAATTTTGTTATAATTATGATACAGTCAGAATTGGCTTTACAGTCACACTTTTAGGATGCTTTTTCTAAACAGATTTCCAGAGTGCTCTCATTCTTGTTTAAAATTCATGTTTCCAACATTTCAGAGCAATACCTCATCTACTTGATTTTGTGTCTGCTGAAGTCTTCGATTACTGCCAGCGGCAGCAGCTGGACCTGTAGACCTGGAACATGTAAAAGCATGAGTAAATTCCCATTCCAAATACATTTTCTTAAGTATAAAGAGGTTGGTGGGCCGTAGTGGCTCACGCCTATAATCCCAGCCTGTCCAACATGGAGAAACCCCATCTCTACCAAAAAAAAAAAAAAAAAAAAAACCACAAAAAAAATTAGCTGGGAGTGGTGGCGCGTGCCTATAATCCCAGCTACTCGGGAGGCTGAGGCAGAAGAATCGCTTGAACCCAAGAGTTGGAGGTTGTGGTGAGCCGAGATCACGCCATTGCACTCCAGCCTGGGCAACAAGGGCAAAATTCTGTCTCAAAAAAAAAAAAGGTGTTATTCTGGGACTCTCACTGTTAACAATCTCTTATATCAGAACTAAAGCAGAAAGAGAAGTTCTTCCTGAAGCAATGAACAAATTTTAATGGCATTTCTTCTAATTTCGCTATACTTTCCAAGACTGTCCCACTTCACAAACGTGAAGGTTTAATAGGATCTACTTTGTATTCCTTTAGTATCTGATCCCAAGACAGGTAAACTCTACTGTGTTGTTTTTTCTTTTTCGGAAAAGTGAGTTGAAGCAATGCTTTCTCTTTTAGGAAGGCACTCTTTTTTTATGTTGTTTTTTTTTTTTTTTTTTTTTTTGAGACAGAGTTTTGCTCTTGTTGCCCAGGCTGGAGTGCAACTGGGTGATCTTGGCTCACAGCAACTTCCGCCTCCTGGATTCAAGCGATTCTCCCTCCTGTCTCAGTCTCCCAAGTAGCTGAGATTACAGGTATGTGCCACCATGCCTTGGTCAGGCTGGTCTCGAACTCCTGACCTCAGGTGATCCACCCACCTCGGCCTCCCTAAGTACTGGAATTACAGGTATGACCCACTGCACCTAGCCCAGGAAGGTACTCATCTTTTAAAATCTTCATCAAAGGCTTTATTTCTCCCCAGGCAGATCTTTCTTAACCACTCTGACTCTCAAGTCATTATTGGCTCCATTACTTGACAGTATCACTTTGGTTTTTCAGGTACAAAGTCCTGCCTCCTCGAATAAATCGCAGGTTCTTGGGTCTTCTCATTCTCTGTATCCTAGATAGCACCTAGCATGTGTCTTGGTATACAACAGTCTGATGGACTGTTTGACAGTTACTTTACATCTATCATGCATCAATGACCAGAGCTACAGCAGATCCCATCTCTGTCCTCAGAGTTTAGTGTCTGGTACATAATAAGTAAGGACCATGCCATGGTACTTGACTCTTCCCACGCATTTTCTCCTTTAACCCTCATAACTCTTTGAGGGGAATATTACTCACATTTTACAGATGAGTAAAGTGAGGTTTAGAAAGTCAACACAGCTGGCTGTAGTACAGCCTGTTTTTAGATCAGGTCCTGTGTACCTTGTATCTAGATTTTTTTTTTTGAGACGTTGTCTTGCTCTGTCACCCAGGCTGGAGTGCTATGGTGTGATCTCCACTCACCACAACCTCAGACTCTTGAGTTCAAGCAATTCTCCTGCCTCAGTCTCCCAAGTAGCTGCGATTACAGGCACACGTCACCACACCCAGCTAATGTTTTGTACTTTTAGTAGAGACGGGGTTTTACCATGTTTGCCAGGCTGGTCTTGAACTCCTGACCTTGTGATCCACCTGCCTCAGCCTCCCAAAGTGTTGGGGTTAAAAGCATGAACCACCATGCCCGACCTGGCTCTAGATCTTAACCACTGTGATCTATTGGCACAACAGCCTTAGCAGGAACATTCGAGGGGTGTCGCCAGCTCCTGGAAGAAACCCGGGGCTTCCTCCGACGGTAAGCAATGAGCAAAACGGAGGTGGAAGAGAGGGTCCTTGTGATTCTTAATAATTAGCATTCTCTAACCACTACCTTTGGAAGCACCGGTTTGCAGGGGCCACAAGAGCGCTTTCGCTTGAGAGCGAAGGCCCACGATAAAGTCATCTTCCCAGTGTAGATGCCCCTAGCTAGGCATCTCGGGCCATAGGGGCTCAGGACAGGCCCGAGATCTTTTCCTTCGCAACTTCTGGGGCCCAGCGCAGCACCGGGGTGAGCGCGGGCGCCCCGGAACCAGACCAGTTGTCCCGGTTCCTCTCACGGACCTTGGGGGCTAGAAGGGGAAGGGGCGAGAAGCGGGGTGCGGCGGGCAGCTAACTTCCTCCGGGAAGCGCCTCGCCGCCCCGCCCTCCCCCCTTCTGCGTCCGCCCGCTGGCCGCGGGACCCACCCAGCCAGTCCGCAGCCTGAGCCCCCAGGGCCACCGCCCACCCCGAGGCCTTGGTGTCCAAGCGCAGCCCCGGCCTACGTCCGAGAGGCGGCCGGCGGTTTAAACTGGGCAGTACGGCGGTCCCAGCCTCGACCTGCCGCCTGCGGGGCCCGAAGCCGCTCGCGTAGCGTAACGTCACTCACATTTTGGCGGCGGCGACTGCGGCGGCGGCGGCGAGCAAGGGTCGAGAGAGAAGCGCAGCGGGGTCCAGAGGCTGCCAGGGAGATGGGCGGGGCGGCGCGGCGCGAAGCAAAGACGTCACCGGGTGGGGCCGGCTGGAGCGGGCGGGGTTCGCTGGGTCGCGAGGGGCGCGCCGGAAGTGGGCGGGCGCCTCCCGGACGAAGCTACTTGGGAAGTTGAGGGCCATAGGGGTCCCAGGGCGGTTCGGGTTCCGAAACGCAGAGTGCAGGTCAATACAGCTCCCTCTCCGCACCGAGCCTGAGCTGGCGCTTGGGGACGTGATCTGCAAAGGTGGTGCGTTACGCACTGGCGAGGGACTGTGTGGGTAAGTGAGGGTGGGGCATCTCATGTTATTCTGGGCCTGGGGAGTACTTCGCTCTAACAGTATTGGAGACCGATGATTGGCTTCTGCTGAACGTTCCAGATTAATTTAGTGATCCTGGGGCACCATGTTTCTCCCAGAAAGTAGTGAAAATAAAATAAGAAGTCCATTTCGGGTATTTGTCACAGGCTTGGGGTTGGGTTAGGTTCCCGCTCTTCTAGTTTTCATTGGTAACACAAATATTTGTCACTGCAGATCATATTATAACCTTACGAGAGCTTTGGCGTCAGGGCTGTAGTTTCTTCATTTCTGTATTTTCAGGCCCTAGCACAGAATACGTCCTCAGGTTTTGGTTGAAGGGAGGGAAGCAGAAATCTGAACGCAGTGAGTTACTTTGTAATGTATTTGTTACTGAAATAGTCCTACCAACAGTTTCCTACATAAAAAACAACCACTAATAGGTCATTCGGGGGGGTCTCTTAGATGAGAAGTAAAACATACAGTACTATGCTGTCTTTTCCAACTCTACATAGAATACTTTGAAAAGGGAAACGTTAATATATATTCGAATAAACGAGAGTGTCACAGAGGCGGTGGGATTTGAGTTGAGTAGTGGAAAAGCGAACTTTCTAGGTAAGGGCTGGACAAACACCATGAACAAAGACAGCAGTGAAAATGGACGCACTGTGCACAGACCATCTAGAAGGTGCAGGTTGGGTACAGGTGAAAAGAAAACTGAATAAAGAGGAGAAACAAGAAAAATGTCATTTAAATGTAGTGGGCCCTGGAAACCACTGATTCGCGGACTTGGGAGATCCGTGATGCAAAATTTCTCTGGCAGTAGCGGCCAGATGGATTAGATGGCAGAGGGATCACTAGGGAGATAATGAAAGGGAATGGAACAGTGATGACAGAATACTCAGAAAGGAGGACGTTCGGGATCTATTGCAAAATGCCTTTTAGAAGACTTCAGAGGATTGTAACTGAAAAGGTGAATTAAATTAATGTCTTTATCTTTCAAATAACTGCACTGCCTCACACAAATGATTATGTTGAGAGGTGCTGGAAAGAGGCGAAAGCTCTCGGAATGGTGGCTTCAAGACATTTTTTCTTTCGTGGAACTATCTGAAACAATGTAACATTCAGTGTCAAAACATTACATCTGGATCAGAAGGAAATATTTGAAATTCTTAGGTATGTTCTGAAACATGTGCCTATCACCTTAGACTTCACTACCCAGTCACATTAAAGCAAAACACACACGTAGTATGGGGAAATTTTCTTCATTTTTAATTTACAGCAGAAAGAATATAAAGCATTCAGAAAACATTTTCCATATTTTAAGGGCAATTCAAAACATTTTGCATGGTTTCCAGCAGCTGAGTTCTTCAACAGATCCATTGATTCAATGATGCTTTACATGCACAATTACAAAAATAAAACTTACAAAAAAGAAGACATCTAGACTAGTTTTACATGCAAGTCTCAGGGACCCCCCATTGGGCGCCAACTACTGTGTGGAACTGCCATAAGCGACCGTGCAGCCAGAGAGGGGTTCGTGTTATTGTCTTTTATTTCGTTCACACAGTACAGCTGATTTCGAATGGGTAACGAGAATAGCAATTAAATCTTCAGGAGATAGAATAAGATTAGCTATTAATTTTATAATGAAATCCTACTCCTGGCACTTGGGAATTCAGATTATCCAAGAAAGCTGCGCTTATCTATCATCTTATATTCGAAATTAAGATTCATAACCAAGAAAAAGCGGTCAGAAATGCTTCATTTCAGTGGAAGTGCATTTTTGCCTCACCTAGGATTCACAGTTGTACTGGTAGGTTACATCGGCAGGCTTTAAACCTACTTCCTATACCCTCCATGAGAACCCTCTTAATTCTATGGAAGTCTCTATCATCTGTACTTTACTAACGTATTCAGCTAATAATGTAACGTGAAACATTAAAAAATATATATATGTGAGGGTTAAAGCAAATCCACTGAGGTCATTACTCTGGTCAAAAGATCAGTTATTTGTACCATAATAAATGGAATAAAGATATCTAAATTCAGTATTAATATGGGGTATTCTGAAAGAGCTGGCTTTCACATTCTGTTCCCATTTATGAATTCATTTGTGTTTGTAAATTACTCAGTGTCCTCCTATAGGTCAAATTGTGTAAAATAATAGGAATCTGGGGGACTGCAATAGCTGCAACATAACCCACACATTTAAAAACAAAATTGAGTCAGGTCAGTTTACAAATGTACAGGTGGCTACTAGTTGTGGGGCTGTCACTGTTGTCAAAGCTGATCACAAGCAGAAAGACATATACTGTACAGTAATTCGAGGTTGGCAGTGAAAGGAAGTAATTAAAAAACAAGTACAATTATAGAAAAGGCACCAAGAGCACTGACCCCAGTTTTTACCACAATCTTTTTGTATCGAACTTCCTTCCAAAGACACCAGTTTAAAAGCTTATTTGTGAATATTTTTAGGCTTCACAACAAGCCTTGAGTTTTAACTCACAGTTGGCAGCCAGAACCAAGAAAAAACATCTCAGCTTTACACCAACTGATCCTCAAACGTAACCTGGGAATTTTAAACTGGCATCAGCAAATGCTTTATTCTCTCAATTTAACATTAGTTTCGTTGTTAAAAGCATCAGATTTCTTTGGCTCCTTATTATGTGGAAATAGTAATATACCATGCCATCTCTAAAGACCAGTCTGCATCTTTTTCATTTTTAGTTATTTTTGTGTGCAATTTTAATACATTTTCTGATTTCCAGCAGGAGATATGGAAACGTGACATTTTTCTACTTTTCACACTATTTCTTTTGTCAGGTTTTTGATCATTCTAAGTGTTCTTTGTTGGAGTGAGTGGGTGGTGTTAAGCTACATACTGATTCATCTTATGATTATCCGTTTTGCAAAAGTAACTTAATTTTCTTAAGCAGTATTAGCATTCACATTACTTGGCACCATTGGCAAAAAAATTTTAAATAAAATAAACTAAACTCCTGGTAGCTAAAATTAAATGTAAACATATCCTTTTTTTTAAGTAATGTTACTCTGCCTTTTTTCCTAAGTCTAAATACAGTAGCTCTTTTTTTTTTTTTTTTTTTGCAGTTTAGTCATGCTTTAGCAAAATGTTCTTCTAAAGAACATTTAAAATAAAGTACTCTTATAGTGAAATAAATTTTTTTGTTTCATTTTACAGACCATAGCCACTAATGCTTTGCTTTTGTTCATTTCTTTTTTCTTGATTTCATGCACATATCTCTTTGTTTTAATATATACAATATATACAAACAGTACATCCACATTTTTCTCGCTCATTCAGACAAAACTATACAAATAATTTTATCTTGCCATGTTATTGACCTTTGTGAATAAAATATTTAGCAATTAATATAATCCCTTTCAAATATTTTCTCACTTTTCATTTCTACCTTCTATATATACACAGAAACCGCTCAGTTTGGATGAGATATAGCCAAAAACATGGAATTTACTGGCCAGAACGCAGCACCACACTGATCTTTTAGGTGGCAAATGTCCAGGCAAGGTTCATGATTCCTTAGAATTACTACAGTTTCCAAGGTTACTAAAAAAGGCTACATGCTTTACCACTTCTTAAGTAATTCTCATTGCACGTGAAAGTAAGGCAAAAAAATTAAAGTGCTGAAGATGGAAAAGGGGACAAGATGATTACTACCCTCGCAGGTTCTTGGAAGGTGGTGGGGACAAGAAAAGAAGTTGAAACTCTGTGAGCTGCTTCTCATTATTTCCCATGCATTACCCGTTTACCACACACCTGCCCCTCTGCAAATTTCCACAAGACATTAAAAACCCGCAGATTTCAAAAGTTGCATTAAGTGTGCTGTAGAGATTAAAACAAACAAACAAACACACAAACGAAAGTAAACAGTGAAGAAAATGAAAACACGCGGACCCAATAAAGATTTTTTATGATCTAAGCCCTCCACTGAGAATCAATCCCAAAGATTCAGCTTCTTGGAAATGACCGGCAGGTGCAGGAACAGCATTCTGTTTTTGTTGCTAGTATATAGCCCCACCTTTTCTTATCTATATTTTTGGTATAAATATTTGTACAGTTCCACACGATGTTTGAATACAGCCCTATATGAGAAGGAAATGGCTTCTTCCTGAGAAGAGGAAGCCTCTTTCAATTCCTCCTGGTGTCTTGATTTCCCATGATCCAACAGAGGATTGAGTTCCAAGATGTCTTGCTGATCAAATTAAAAGTTGTCCATGAAAGTGCAAATGCAATGACCAAAACATTCCTGTTAAAATCCTGCAGCTGATCTCTCCAAAACTGCAGAGGGATTGTGTGTGTGTGTATGTGTGTGTGTGCGCGTGTGTGTTGTTGTTGCATGTCTCTGCTAAAAACAGAAATGAAAACAGTCTGAAAAGCAATGTCACATTGCTAAGGGATGCTGCTGTATCTCTTCAAGTTCCTTGGCCTTTTTCAATTCTTTCACTCTGGAAGAGAAACAAAACAAAACAGCAGGCGATAACTCTACAGTGAATTGTGACCAAAGAAAGGCAAGGGTAATCCATTCCCTCTGAACTGAAAAGCCAAGACTAAAACCCTTTTGAGGAATGATAGCAAAAGAAACTCCTGTGAAATTGTTGGGGAAAATATTCGAAGAAAAGATGTGACCCTTCTTAAGATGAGAAAAGTCATTCTAAAGCTTTGCTCTACATCCAGTGCTCTGAGAACAGAGCAAAATCAAAGTCTAATGTATTAAATCAAGTGTGACAATCACACGTTTATCTTCAGAAAAATTTATTCAAATAACTTTTTAGTCTGGTGGACCACAATTAATGTCCTATCACTCCATATAACGTAAATTAGGGAAACTGCACATGCATTCATTTAGCTTTTAATAGACCTAAGGATTAAGCTACTATCCCTTTGTTCATAGACTCAAGGTTGTTAGCTTTCTCGAACCTGATCATACATTTTTCCAACTCTACTCTTCACCCAGGTATTGTGGACATAATTCCTTACTTTCCTCCCATTCCACATAACTGAAAAAGACATTCAGGTTCTTTCTCCCACTGCTCCCAGATGGACGGCTGTAGGTGTGATACTGATAAGGTACTTTGTTCTATTATCAAACATATTATAGTAAACGAGTTTAACTTAAACTGTTATAGACTGAGTCATGAAAAGTTCACACCAGCAAATTACTTATTAATTATCACTGCCAATCTGTAATTTTTAATATAAAAATCAGCTTCACTTGTTTTGGACATGGCCACCTGATGTAGATGGGATGCTGGGGAAGCAGCTGTCTGCTGTTAAGAGTATTTCTCTATATGACAATTACGAGCCTGCCTTAATAGCAGAATGATCAAATGTAAGCCAATGCATGCTGTGTAAGTCACAGTTTGTGGTACTGTATATCATATAACATTTGTTTCCCAAAAATAGGTGTGAGAGGCTGATTTTAGCCAAACAGGGGAAACAGTTTCTTAGGACACCCATACTCTACTGCAACAGCATGACCAGGAAAAGTTGGATTTGTCATGGTGCTATATAGAGGTCCATAATCTCAAATATATTTTTCTGATTCTCTAAGAGTCTCTCCTGTTACCTTAAGTTATACTAGTAAAGTAAAACTTTTTTTTTTTTTTTTTTTTGAGATGGAGTCTCACTCTGTTGCCCAGGTTGGAGTGCAGTGACGTGATCTCAGCTCACTGGAACCTCTGCCTCTTGGGTTCAAGTGATTCTCCTGCCTCAGTCTACCCAGTAGCTGGGAATTACAGGCATGTGCCACCACGCTCAGCTAATTTTGTTTTTTTAGTAGAGATGAGGTTTTGCCACATTGGCTAGGCTGGTCTTGAACTCCTGAGCTCAAGTGTTCCACCCGCCTCTGCCTCCCAAAGTGTTTGAATTACAGGCTTTAGCCACCAGGCCCAGGCTCAAGTAAAACTTGATGACAAAACTTGAAAACTTGATAACACTTGATAAAGAAGGAAAAAAATATTGTGAAAAAAACCAGTAATCAGTTATTGCTATATTGAATAGGTTGAGAGTCTGGAATGGCACATATGCTATAATAGCAATTTAAGAAAACATATTTACCACTCCAAGCAGAATCATTTCTGAGTATTCTGCAAAGTTGATATAATCTCTTCATAGAGAAGATGCTCTCTTTTGGAAGAAAGGCTTTATGATGTTATCATGAGTAATAATAAAAAGAATTATAATATTTGAAAACTTGCTTATTTGTCTGATTTACTTACTACATACAGCAAGCCCTAGCTTGGTCCTAGTGTGATTTTTACAAATGACAGTGACAGCGTATCTCTAAAACTATTGAATCTTTTTTTTTTTTTTTGTTAACAGGTACAGGTAGAATACATTGCTATGTTCATAAGTAGATCCAAATATCATTTAGTTTAAATTTTATAGTTAAATATACCATGGATTAATTTGGGTCATATTACAGTATAGAATTATACATCACTATAGGTCCCTAAATTTTGGACATGCATACTTGATAAATAAATGACTTTTTAAAAATTGAAACATGCTATAGTCTGTTCAATTTTTAAACATGCAATATCTATACTAACATCCCTTTGGCTGGAAATGC